TTTCTGAGCCTTTGTATCCTTACGTGAAAAATTAGGGGGCTGACGCTGTGCCTCAGCGGATTAACACCCTGGCCTGAGCGCCAGCATCCCATATGGGCCCCGGTTCTAGTCCTGGCTGCTCCTCTTCCCATCCAGCTCTCTGCTATGGCCTGGGAAAGTAGTAGAAGATGGCCCAAGTCCTTGGGCCCCTGCACCCACGTGGGAGACCTGGAGGAGGCTTCTGGCTCCTGGCTTCGGATCAGTGCAGTTCTGGTCATTGCAGCCAATTGGGGAGTGAACCAGCAGATAGAAGACACCTCTCTCTCTCTCTCTCTCTCTCTCTCTCTCTCTCTGCCTCTCCTCTCTCTGTGTAACTCTTTCAAATAAATAAATAAATCTTTAAAAAAAAAAGAAAAAAGAAAAATCAGATTGGACCAGAAACCCAAGGTCATTTTGAGTTGCAGTGTTTAATATTTTCATATTGCAGATAAAGAAAGTACTTAGGGGCCAAACAAATCACTTTAATTACTAAGAAACACAAGCCTCACATGGTTTTCCTTCTGCGAATATACATACATCTTGTCTAATGCTCCAAAGAGGTTGTGTTTCGTGTGGTGTCATTGGTTGAGGCTTCTGATGAAAGTTCCTTCCAGCTTCCTCCTCGTAAAAGCACTATTGAAATAAATGTTCTCAGCTCAGTTCTTTTGCTGGTTGTTTATAAATTTTTTTTGTCAGAATGGACTATAAATTACTGGCTTATAATCCATGAATCACTGCTTTGAAGTACCTCTGAGATACTTACCTTTTGACCTTCAAAAATTAATTTCATGTGATGTGTGTTGTGGGCCACTTGGGTGCACTTTAAGGCACTGCTTTTTCAGACTCCAGCTCTCTGCATCTTTAATAGTTAAAATTTCATGTGTGTTTTCAAGTGGTTTACACTAAGCTGATGTCAAAGCAAACACACCAGATTGCCTTTTGGGGGTTGTCTTGACACCAGCACCTGCAAATTGCTGAATAGTCATGGTGCCAGAAATCTCAGAATAAGTTCTCTGCACTCTTACCTTCAGCTAATCAGTTGCTCTAGTTTCCCCTCACTCTGTCACTCTATTTGTTGAGCACCCCTTGATGGAGTAGCTACTGTAGCCCCGGATGTAGGATGTCATTGTGCATCCCCATGGCCAGGATTCTATTGCAGAAGGAACTGTGTTTACAAAAGTGGAGCTTCTTCCATGGGTCCTTTTGTCAGTGAGTAACCGAACCTGTAAGTAAACCAGCCATGCAAGAAATCATCCATGAAGCAAAATTTTCTGTATCTTAGATCATATCTTCCCTTTTTCTCATGTTCACTACCACATATATGGAAGATTAATGATATTTCACAAAGTAGTCTATTATAGAAGTAGATATCTGAGACTAATCATGTCATATTCGATTTTAAAACCTAAAATATTGAACTTTTATGGTATTAAATTTTTAAAAATATTTATTTATTTGAGAAGCAGAGTTACAGAGAGGCAGAGGTTGAGAGAGAGAGGGAGAAAGAGGTCTTCCATCCACTAGTTCACTCCCCAATTGGCCGCAACAACCAGAACTACACTGATCCGAAGCCAGGAGCCAGGAGCTTCCTCCGGGTCTCCCATGTGGGTGCAGGGGCCCAAGGACCTGGGCCATTTTCTACTGCTTTCCCAGGCCACAGAAGAGGGCTGGATCAAAAGTGGCACAACCAGGACTCAAACTAGCACCCAAATGGGATGCGGGCACTGCAGACTGCGGCCTTTACCCTTTTAGAATGCCACAGCGCCGTTCCCAGGTATTAAATTCTAAACCAGGTAGGCATTTAGCCATAGAGTTGTGGGCATTTGGGGAGTGAACCAGAAGATGGAAGCTTGCACTCTCTCTCTCTCTCTCTCTCTCTCTGTCTGCTTCGCAAATAAACAATAAATGAAAGGGGGTTTCCCCCAAAATCTTACGATAGTAGCTTTTTGAACACTAGCTAAATCAGAGTGGTTAACTTAGTCGTCTGGACGTCAAAATAGTTGGATAATCGTGGCAGCTCATCATATAGCTGTGCAAATGAAGGCAAGCTACTCAAGTATGCTGAACTGCAGGAGAGGAGCAAACATAGTTCTGTGGTGTCTCGGGGGTGTTGTGAGGAATAAGCAAGACAGAGAATGTGACAGTGCTTTGTATCACAGAGTGTGCAATCCAGATATGAACCAGAAAAGGTAAAACATGCAGGCACTCTGGTATTTCTAGGTACATTATTGCTTTCATCTATGTGGTATTGCACATACATTTTATATGTAAACAAAGCTTGTAAGGTTGACTTTCTCCCAATTAGCACAGCTAATGAACACTTAATGGGCAGCTGCAAATACAGGTTTTATTGGAAGCAGAAAATTAAAGTAATCGAGGAGATTATTTTTTTCTCCATTGACATGTAAAAAGCAAAGGGACTCCTAATAAGAACATATTTACTTGTTCTCTATGTGTACCCACATTGCCTAACTTTTAAAGATATTCTCTCTTTGTTCAAGTATGAGAAAGAAAAAGTCAAAACCTCCTGTAAATGTTGCCATACGTTGGATGACTCTCCTGGGTGAAATAGATTTTATTTAATTTTGTTTGTTAGAACCATGTGGTAGCTGCCAGATTTTGAGGGCACAAGAGGCACAGCCTGGACTCCTGCTTTGCTTGTGTTTTGAAATAGAACATATTCAGAGCACATCTTTAGAATCATGCTGCAAAATTAATTACCTGGGCTAGTGATAGGGCAGGAAGTTGTTTTATCCCATTAATTCTAGCACACATTAATTTTCTACAACTCAGTTTTCCTTTTATTTTTATAAACTTTTATTTTCATTATATTTGAAAGGCAGAGGGAGAGAGGCAGAGAGACAGACACAGAGAGATCTCCCATCTGCTGGTTCACTGTCTAAATATGTGCAATAGCCAGGAGTGCGCCAGGCCAAAGCCATGAGCCCAGAGCTCAGTGTGGGTCTCCCGCATGAGTGGCAGAGACTCCAGTACTTGAGCCATCATCTGTTGCCCCCCAGGGTGCACACTGGCAGGAAGATGGATTGGAAGGGGAGTAATCAGTGCTCAAACCAGGCGTTTCACAATGGTATTTGGGTGTCTCACGGTGTCATGTGCCCACTGTACTTTCAGTAGTTTAAATCCAGAAGCACTTAACTAGTCATTCCTTGAACATAAGTACATGTTGTGACTGCCACTCTGAAAAGATAAAATAGGATTAGTGGTCAAGCTACTTTACTATTTCTAAGGAGTGATCATATGTACAGATCTATGGAGTTGAATGCCAAAGAAATCCAAACGGAGAGTCCATTTCCCCAATATCCAGGTGTGTTCATGGGTTACCTCTCGCTTTCCTCTTTGGAATGTTAACTCCTAGGTTCCAACTTAAAATCTTGTGAGCGAAATTAAAGATGTTAAGAGCCAGACCAAGGAGGATCACATCGGTCTCTCCCTGTAGCCTTCATTCATTTGTTTTCTTTGTATTCTACTTAACTGTTTTTCTTCTTTTTTTCTCTTGGAGTCTTTGTATTTAAAGACAGACATCTTCCTCTGGAAACTCATGCAGGTTCTGGTTTGGAGAAAAGCTATTCACAAAAGGAAATGAGACAGAGCACATACAGATAACTTGGAGTATACTGGCAGACTTAGAAGTTAATGAGGGAAAAAGGTCATAATTATCCTATTTCATCCATCAGAATAGTAAGTTTAGTACTTCTCCTTGGTTAACATCATTTATGTAGCCAGGTCTGGTGTTATTTCCTTGGCTGTCTTCAATTTGCTGATGAAGCAAATTCCCCTTTGGTCTTTATGATTCAAAGAGGGTTCAGCTAGATTTTCAGAAATTCTGTTTGGGGTGGAAAAGTATATATTAAGACCAAAATGGTACAGCCACCACAACCTATTAGTAAATTTTGCTATGAACGTTTATGTTGGGGCAGACATTTTGAGTAGTAGTTAAGACACTACTTGGAATACCTGCATCCCATATAAGAGAGCCTGGGTTCATGTCCTGCCTTCACTTCCACTTCTAGCCTCCTGCCACCCTGGGAGGCAGCAGTGATGGCACAGACGTATCTAGGTCACAGCCACACACATGAGAGACCAAGATTGAATTCCAGGCTCCTGGCCCAACCCTGCTGAGGGCATTTGGGGAATGAACCAGCAGATGGGAGATTTCTTTGTACCTGTTTCGCTACCTTTTTTTTTTTTTTTTTCTGATAGGCAGAGTGGACAGTGAGAGAGAGAGACAGAGAGAAAGGTCTTCCTCTTATTGGTTCACCCCCCAATGGCTGCTGCGGCTGGTGTACTACGCTGATCCGAAGCCAGGAGCCAGGTGCTTCTCCTGGTCTCCCATGCGGGTGCAGGGCCCAAGCACTTGGGCCATCCTCCACTGCCTTCCTGGGCCACAGCAGAAAGCTGGCCTGGAAGAGGAGCAACAGGGACAGAATCCGGCACCCCGACCGGGACTAGAACCCGGTGTGCTAGCACCGCAGGCAGAGGATTAGCCTAGTGAGCTGCGGCACCGGCCTCACTACCTTTCAAAAACATAAAAAGAAATAAGAAAATGTATGCTGATAGCCATCCTTTGTACGCCACACTTGACCTGGCAATCTGACTTTTAAGTTTTTGTCCCCTGTTAGATCTCTCGACTTTGTTATACCTGCCTCTTGCATATTTGGTCCCAACATGCACACTCATAAATAAATACAAATCAGCGCTTTTTATAATTGTGTCACAGGAAGATTTTATGTTCTTTTGATGTTACATTTTTTTGTTGGTTTTATCCTTAGTATTGAATTTGTACATTCAGGCTTTTCCATTCCTCCTAAATCCCACTGACTTCTTTGTTACCAGTGGGATAGCAGACAGGCTACTATTGTTGCCATTTGTTGCTCGCCCAGTGGTATGGAGAGCTTTGTTGTCAGTGTCTGTGGGCTCCAAAGCTTTCTCTCACTGTTCCTTTTGCAATGTTCTTTTCCTAGACCTGAACGAAGCAGTCCCAGAGACAGAGCGCCTGGATTCGAAAGCACTGAAAACCCGTGCCCAGCTCTCGGTGAAGAACAGACGCCAGCGGCCTTCCAGGACAAGACTCTATGACAGCGTCAGCTCCACGGACGGGGAAGACAGTCTGGAGCGGAAGGTGAGCACCCGGACGGCATGTTGGCCTCTACCATTTTTCCTACAGCGTATGGAGGAGAAGTTTTTTTCCCAACTAAAATCTGTGTCTTGGCTGGAAGAGTTCACATCTTTGTCCTCTGATTTCTTCCTTAATGTTACACACTGTTGTTAATTCAAATCCAGTGAGCTAACCAAGAGTGTTATCCCTATTGCCATGTTTCTTGAGGGTGCTTTCCTGTTCAACTGTTGGCTTTAGCAACTGGGAAATGCTGACTCTGTTTCTGTGTGTCTTAGCTGTCTGTGTTAGCTACCCTGTTAACATGGTGAGTTGTTGCGAGCTATGCATTCTCATCTGTAAACCAACAAGCAAACACGGTTTCCATGGGGATTCGCTTAAAAAAAAAAAAGCGATTGGTCTCATTTCCAAGTAAGTATTGCATAGAACCAATACTCAGTGTCATAACCTTTATAATCTCTTATACCAACAGCTTTCAAACAGTTTCTATAACCACATGCATATTACCAAATCACTTCTACCCAAGGGTTCAAGATCTTCTTCTCCAGAATCAGATTCTGGTGTTCCACCCCTCACCCCAGTGGCTAGCGATGTGCCCTTCTCACCTGACCACATCCCTGGATTTCAAGAAGAATCTCTGCACCCAGACGGGGAGTCCTTCTCCTCTGCCTGGGGAGACACATCCCCCTCCTCTCCTTCAAAATCTGATCACGACATGGAAGAATCTCCTTGCCACCATCAAGCTACGTCCAGGAAAATATCACAAGACAAAGGTATTTTAAGTTTCTTCCTGTTTTGCTTTGTCAGATTTCACCAGCCCCCAAATTGTGCAATATAAGGTGGCTTTTTCTTACAGTCATAAGTTATTTGTCTTCTCACTGCTAGCAATACTGCAATCCTTTTACATCATGGGAGCAAGCGAAACACACCTAACCCCCCCCCCCCCCCCCGTGTGATTAAGTTCAAGTGCGTCGTTGGTTTCTGCCTGGTTCAGTGTTTGTATCTCTTCAGCTCAGAAGAAGAGTTTACTATCAAAGGGAATTCTGGGAGGGATCTTCTAAGTATCTTGCAGGACAGTAGCCCAAAGTTTCAATAAGCACTAACATATTCATTTAGGAAAAAACCAGTAAAGATCAAAGTGATGTCAGTCTTAACCTATTTGTTGATTTTTACTTATTTTGTTTATTTTATTTTTATTTAGAAAATATTTTCACAGTTATGATTTATATTGCAAAGAATGTGATAGAAAGCAGCAATAAAGATAATTCAGGAAGGCTCATCAGTTAAAGTTTAAAACAGGCTCCTAGAATTACACCAGAATTTCACAGAACTCTCAGTAGACTTTTGTCTTTTTCTTATATACTTTTTAAATTTATATGAAAAGATGATCACCGTTACTAAGGATCAGAGACATGGTCATTTAAGTTAGATAGCAAACTACTAAATTTGGCAAATTGCCAACAACCTCAGATTGAGATTTGGGGTGAGATTCACTCAACACTGAGAGTTAAGGATGCGTCGCTCCAGTTTTGAACATTCTGTATCATGCATTTCTAGCAGATCAGCATTGTGATCCCTGTGCAGATGCCTTGTGGTCACAGAGACACTGTTGGCTGTGGGGCTTGTACTGTTGAAAAGCACCCAGCTTCGTTCCTGATGCTTTCTCATTGTTTTCCTCTCCTGAACCTGTTAGCTGCTAGAATTATCTTCCAAAGACCGATCCTAAGCACAGCTCTTCTAGAAGCAGTTTTGAGGTAAAAATTGAGTACTTGGAGTACAAACTGCCAGTGGAGGCCAGAGAATTTATGTCAGACCTACTAATTCAAAATGAGTTGTCAGGTTAGTGAAAAGCTGGCCTGTGATTTCAGCCTACTTTCTAAAGAATTGAAGACTTCAGAAACCTTCATTAATTAACCTAAATTGTGGGTTAAAATTACATTTTAATTTTATTTTTTTAAAGATTTATTTATTTATTTGAAAGTCAGAGTTAGAGAGATCGTCCATCTGCTGGTTCACTCCCCAGGTGTCTTTAATGGCCAGGGCTGGGCCAGGCTGAAGCCAGAAGCCAGGAGCTTCATCTGGGTCTCCTGTGTGGGTAGCAGGAGCCCAAGGACTTGGGCCATCTTCTACTGCTTTTCCCAGGCCATTAGAAGGGAGCTGGATCGGAAGTGGAGCAGCTGAGACACAAACCAGAGCCAATATGGGATGCCGGCGCTGCAGGAGGCGGCTTTACCCACCTTGCCACAATGCAAGCCTCCGGCATTTTTATTTTTCTTTTCTTTTTTTCCTAAGATTTATTTATTTATTTGAAAGGCAGAGCTACAGAGAGGCAGAGGCAGAGAGAGAGAGAGAGGTCTTCCATCCGGTAGTTCACTCCCCAATTGGCCTCAATGGCCGGAGCTGCGCCGATCCAGAGCCAGGAGCTTCTTCCGGGTCTCCCACATGAGTTCAGGGGCCCAAGGACTTGGGCCATCTTCTACTGCTTTCCCAGGCCATAGCAGAGAGCTGGATCGGAAGTGGAGCAGCTGGGACTTGAACCGGCGCCCATATGGGATGCCAGCACTACAGGCTGCGGCTTTACCCACTATGCCACAGCGCCGGCCCCGGCATTTTTATCTTTTAAATTGAATTGTTTGTTTTCTTTTTGTTAAATTTTTAAAAGTGTTTATTTGTTAATTTATTTATTTGAAGGCAAAGTGACAAAGAGAGAGAGGCCTTCTGTTTACTGGTTCCCTCCCCTTAATGCCCACAGCACGCAGGGCTGGGCCCTACTGAAGCTAAGAGCTCCGGCCTCTATCCTGGTCTCAGCATGGGTGGCAAGGACCCAGGTACTTGGGCCATCACCTGCTGCCTCCCCAGTCACGTTAGTGGGAAGCTGGATTGGAAGGCAGGGACGGGATTTGATCCTATACACTGGGATATGGGATGCAGGCATCGCAAGCAGCAGCCCAACCCACTGTGCCACAACACCCACCCCTCAAAAAGCACTTTTAGGGCAAGCCCTCTGTGATCTCTTTTTGTAAAAAAGATGTGTATAGACCTTTGTCTGCGAGGAGGCAGAAAGAGCAGCTGCACGTACTTTGGAGCAGGTTGAGTGTAGGAGACCTCATAAGCTATTGTAAAGGAATCCCATCATCCCGGAGGAATCCGTCACGCACACATGAAATGTGACCCGCAGGCTTTTGAAGGTGGCTAGCTCTTGTCTGGATTCTCCTTCTGCCGTTTCCCACTTATGGGGATTCTTTGAAGTTGGCAGATGTTTGCTCTCAGCTTTGAGAGGTGCTGCGTGGGTGTGAACCGGGCTTTGCGCTCCACTAGCGGTGACCTGCCAGGAAGCCGTCAGAAATGCACGGCGCCCCCCACGCCACGCCGCCTGTGTGCTCCTGGGCCTCCTTCAGGATTAAGCCCCAGTGTAGCAGGCAGGACCAACCAACCAGGGGAGCTTCATAGCTCACAGAGACCAGCTGCCACCCTCAGCATCCCCATTCCCGGTTTTCCTTGGCTGGCTGTGCTTGGGCTTTTATAAGGTACTGGCTTTATCCCTGGTCGGTTACCACTGTTACCATCGTTAGGTACTAACTGTGACCGGGTGAAACCAGTGCCAAAGCCTCACGTCCCTCCTTTACTTACCTTGATAGATACTTTGGAGGCCTTCCCTGTCCTCTTAGCACTAATCCATTCCTTCCTGTCTTCATGCCACAGTGGTTGGTGGACACCCACCCTGGGCCAGCAGTGTTCCGTAGACTGCTGTACGATGAGGAGCACGGCTGCTTCCGCTCCCTCAGGGGACTTCTCACTGCTCTGCCTGTCTGCCGCCTTCTGCCTCGCCCCCCACCTCCCTTTTCGGTCCCTTCCTCTCTCTCCCCCACACGTACTTGGTGACAGACCTTGCCACCCCCATCAGCAACAACTTGAAGACCGTCCACCTCTCGCCTTCTGCCCTGGGGCTCTGGTGCACCTTGAGAGAGGTCAGTGTGGGAGGCCCGTGACCCACTGACTCCCTCTCAGTCCCCTGTCACCAGCCCATGGTAACAGCCTGGCCCTCATCTTCTCAGTCAGGGAACTCAATAGCCTACCCTGAGTGAGTCAGGCTGAGGCTCTCAGACCTCAGGGCTCTCCTTACCCAGCGGCCAATCAGGGCACCCCACTAGCGTCCAGGCTTCAGCAGACTCCATGCTGCCATTGTTCAGACACTGTGGTGGCTGATGCCACGTAGATTAGGAGACTGGGGTCTACCTTTATCGTCTTCAAAAATAGCATTTACAAAAACTATTGAGTTCCTTGGCTCCTATGAAAGAACACTACTCAGATCTGGAGTTTAGAGAAGTTAGGTGTGGTTCACCTGTGGCTGCCGTCTCTCTGTGCTTCTACGTGCAGTTTTTCCAGCTCCGTGACTCAGCAGTAAGGGCACAAGTACACACTGAACTGCATGTGTGCACTGTAGCCAGACACTCCACTCCAGGGAATTTCTGATCCTCCTTCAAAGCCCAGCATAAAACTTACCCCCTTAGAGCAGACACCCACCCCTTCGCATCCCAGGCAGTGTGAATTACCCTCTTCTAGCTGAGTCATCGAAAGCTTCATACTGTTACTCCTGCCTCTCTTACTTCGTGTTTGATAAATGATCTGGGTGTCAAACAGGAGCCAAAGTTTTCTCATTTATCTTATCAGTATTTGTATTCCTATTTCCCAAGACAGAATATGGCATAGAATTGATGCTCACTGCTTTTCTGGATGAATTTCTAAGGGCATCTCTCTGGATAATCAGTGCAGATCTTAGCAGGGCATCAGGCAGAGCCACCCTGCACCTGTCTGTGAAGGACCGCCCCACTCTTTCTCTCCTATACTGTCTGCCTCCCTGCTACAGTGGCAGAGACTGTATAGCCACAACCTAAAATGTTCTCTGGCCGTGAAGAAGCACCTTCCTGACCCCTGATTTAGAACTATGTCTTCTTCCATTCAACATTGCCAATAAACTCTGAAAATGGCCCAGTCATTGGTTTCACTTACACTTTGGTCTAGCAGGTTGGTCTAGCAGGTTACTAAACAAAACGATTAAGTACAGTTGTGTCTGATTGCAAGCCTGAGGTTGTCCCTTGGTTGCTGTCACTGGAGTTGGAAGTTTTCTCAATGGTGCTAATACCACAATTGTAAGCTGTCATTTTTTTCATTCATAGTTGGGAGACTTTGGTGGAAATTAGGATACATTGAGCCCCATTATAACCAGCTAAGTGATATGCATTTTACTGAATGTCAGCTAAATTAGAGGAAATAAAAGTTTGTGTTTTTTTCTCCCTAGGGGTTTATGGATAAGGTTGTATGGCAGTAAATGACATGAAAATATTTTCCTAATTCTTACTTATATGGACAGCCTCATACTAAAGTTTTGGTGTCTGGTTTACATAGCAATGGGTCTTTGTTCCATCAGGATTAAGTAGAGTAAATTAAACACCATCGGTTTCTACTCACAATTACTAGAGATTATTATTCTAAGTTTATGTGTGGTTGGTTATTAACTCTGCCTAACATGGAACATGCCTTCAAAAATATTCCTTGAATTGATGACCTGGAAAATAAAACCTGGCTTTTTTAAAGCCTTATAAAATGCATTGCTTATTTGTGTGTTGCTTTAGGCCTCTATAAATATAGATATAATAAAATTATATCATTATTCAGAGGAGAGTGACGTTGCATCCAGCTGAAATTGGTAAACAAAACTTGCCAAAGGAGGTGCAGTTATAGTAACCAGGAAGGGACTTTAAGAAATACGAAAAGGTCGTGAAGGAGAGCATACTGGGTAGAGCAGTGGCATCAACAGGGACAGGCACACATACTGTGAATTTGGAGGAGTGGAGCTGTGCCAGCCTGCAGAACTGGTCTGTGCAAGGCAGGGAGGACACACATCAAAGTGAAGAGGCAGAGGAACCTACAAGTACCCTTGAAAGGAGGAACGCGAGTCTACACTGAGCACAGAAAATGGGCAGTCAGAAACATTAGGAGGGCAGCGTGATTAACTAACTTGGTCTTTGTGTTTTCACAGAGTGGGGTAAGCTCCAGAGAGAAGCCCTGGCTGGGAGGGAGATTTTCAAGTCTCCGCTATACAGCAGGAGATAGTTAAGTGTTTTGTTGCAGGGAATTTAAGGCGAATGCAGTCAAGAAAAGACCTTAGGATTTAGCTATCAGGAGATCATTTATTACCTTTGGAAATGAAAACCAGGTTGCCAAAGCTTAAAGCAGAGGCACTTAAATCTGCCGCTCGGACTTGTACTTGGTCATGAAGGTAGTACTTGGTCATGAAGGTAGTACTTGGTCATGAAGGTAGTACTGGTCATGAAGGTAGTACTTGGTCATGAAGGTAGTACTTGGTCATGAAGGTCGTACTTGGTCATGAAGGTCGTACTTGGTCATGGAGGTCGTACTGGAGAGATTTCATAAAATCTTAAACAAAGTGTCTTGTTGGTTCCTCCTTCTCTGAAGTCATACAAATCCAGTGTTGTTTTGTGTGCAGGCTATAGGTTCTGATGTGCATTATGGAGGGACGCAATGCATTTAAAGTGGGAAACTGTATTATTCCTGAATCTTGCCTCTTCAGCCTTGCAGGAACATTCAGTTCAGTGTTCCTTGGAATACACTTTGGCAAACGTGTGAGAAAATGATGTGAGGTTGCCTAGCAGCAAGGTCTGTGATGGACAGAACCTGGCTTTTAGTCCTGAGATGTCCAAATAGGTGCAACACTAATAGGTTACAGAGTGTTTCCATGTACGTTGTCTCAGTTGGTCTTCTCACCACTCGTTAAAGCATCCCCCAACTACCACTAATTCAGAAAATAATTGGGCAGTCTCCATTTAACTTTGCACAGTCCTAGCCATTGAGAGGTGCTTTACGATTGATCTGGAAGAATTTAGCACTTTCTTTTCCTCAGCTTCTATTAAGAAAATTGAAATCCTGCTTTTTAAAAATATCCATTAGCAAAATCACTTTAGAAGGTATTTGTGCTATGACTGTGGATTTCTTTAATGTGTAGATGTCACATCTGTGGCTGTTTAATTCTGTTACCCGAAGAATAATGATGTAAATATCCATTATAGATATTCAGGCTAGAAGTGGATTTTTGACACAGATGTATTTCTGACTCTTGCATTTCATTAGGTACATTTCAAGGAATTGATTAGTATAACCTAAGTTTCATTAACTGAAAATCTGAAAAGCTCACTGCTAAAAATCCCTGTAGTATTTGTCAGTGTCCTGAGCTCCCTGAGAGCTTTGAACTTAGGTACGTAAATGGGCACTGTGTGTGTACTTCATGTTCTTCTCAAATATCTGCCACTGCTGGTTTAGAAGTAGCAAAATTAACTACCAAAGTTAATTTAACACTATCTTTGGACAACTATTTCCTCTGTAGTCTGTGCTGGAAAGTTCCTAGAAATTCTTGAAAACTGTTAAAAGAAGCAGACATCAGATAGAGCAGTTAGGGAGAAGTAGTCTCACATGGAAGAATGTATCAAGTTGAAAATAGCATTGGTTGATCATGTCAGATGATTGGCTTTGCTGAGCCATGGCACCAACAGGATCCTCTGCTGGGTGGCTCCAGGTGGCGCCTTGGAGTTACCAGCCTTTTTTGGGTGGAATGAGTGTCTAGTGTCATTCGCAAAGCTCTCTTCTGATGGGTTTCTGGCTATGCCCCACTACTTCCAGCTTAACTCAAAGAGACAAAACCCCATTGGCTGCAAGTGCTAAGGAGGTTGGGCGTCTTCTACATCACAAGTTGTGTTCCAACACAGCTATTACGAAGGACTTTTTTTTTTTTTTTTTTTGACAGGCAGAGTTAGAGAGAGAGAGACAGACAGACAGAGAGAAAGGTCTTCCTATCCATTGGTTCACCCCCCAAATGGCTGCTACGGCCAGCACGATGGGCGGCTCGCCATGCAGATCCGAAGCCAGGAGCCAGGTGCTTCCTCCTGGTCTCCCATGAGGGTGCAGGGCCCAAGCACTTGGGCCATCCTCCACTGCCTTCCTGGGCCACAGCTGAGAGCTGGACTGGAAGAGGAGCAACCAGGACAGAACCGGCACCCCAACCAGGATTAGAACCCGGGGTGCCGGTGCCACAGACGGAGGATTAGCCTAGTGAGCCGCGGCGCTGGTCAACGAAGGACCTTCCAAAGCAGGAAAGGTTTCATAGCTGATCACTTACTTCACAAGTCCTCCCCCATGTTCTGCCCTCCTCTAACCCAGTTCTGGTCACAGGCCATTGGCAAGGAAGACACCAGAGTTAGGTAAAACTTTAGCACTCTTCCTCCCCAATCTCCCAGACTCTTAGAGGTGGCTTTCTGTTTTGGACTTTGAAGGCATGGGAGCAGTGGGGTGGGCTCTTGGTGGAGGACACAAAACCTTGGTGGAGGCAAGAGGGTATGGAGGACAGAGCCCAGTCATTTACAACCAAGACTTGGAGCCAGAGAAAGAATGAAAGGAAAGAAAGGAGTCACTTTGGTCCCTGCTTTGAATGCAGTGGACATTGCAGTGATGTGCGTCTTGGTCACCTTCCTTCCAGTGTGTTTAAAGCTGAAACTCTGCGATAACCCCCGTGCCTGCTTAACCAGATCATCCCCACACAACTCTATTTCCTACCACTCATTCAAAGGCATCTATCTTTCTTTTACAGTTAGGAATTTACACAAATGCCTTAGATTCAGAGGTACGCTGACATTTCGCTCATGGCTTTCAATAATAATTGTCCTTTTTCATCTATGCGTGTATCCTAGATGGTGCCAAGGATCCCAGGTCATTAAGGACATCCAGTTCATTGGTGGTGCAAGGAGGAAAAATTAAACGGAAGTTCGTGGATCTGGGGTAAGCACCTTAGAGGGTACAAAGCAACCCATCTGTAAAGGAGGATTAACAGAATCTCAGCTTCCACTGTCCTGACTGTGTGCTGTCATTATAGGGCACCTTTGCGAAGGAATTCCAACAAGGGAAAGAAATGGAAAGAAAAAGAAAAAGAAGCCAATAGGTTTTCTGCAGGTAGCAGGTACTGGTGCGTGATTAAGAACACAGATTTATTTCTGTACTTAAACTTTCTGGCCTCTTCTATTCTTAACCAAAATCAGTGGTCACTCTCTTTGAGCTGAGGTCATATTCTGAGAGTTGGGATGGGAAAAAAATTGCACAGTTGGTTTGTATTTGTCTTATTCCAAGAATAGCCTGCATCTTAACATAGCCATTGGTCCTTAATTACATAATTATGATCATATGCATAGTTTCAATAAATGTTTATCTAAATGCACTATAATTATATTTTTGTGATACGTTAGACATATTTCAGATTTGTCTTGGCCTGGCTACCCACAGTGTTAGTACCTTCTAGCTTTTGTTAAGTCTGAAAAGATAATTTTGCATTTAAGTACCTTGTTGGCATTCAAGACTGACTTGTCAGTGTGCAGGTAAGACTGACCACCCTTTCTTGCTGATCTTGGCCACCTAATTGACTTTGCAGGCACCAGCAACTGTGCTTCCTGCTCAGTAAAGAATTTCCTGTGGAGAAATGAACTCTGAACGACATATTGTCATGTTTTCCCAATTTTATTCTGAGATTACACACTTTTAAACTTGGGCTAGTATAGGAAAACAGTGAAGCATGAAATCCAAGTCCAAGTGCTTGGATTTGAATATTAGCTCTTCCACTGAAACCTTTTAAATCTTGGACAAGGTATTGAACCCTCTGTGAGTCTGCTTTCTCATGCAAAATGAGGGTAGTAACCTCATGCAATTAGTGCAAGAGTTAAGTGAGTTTTCTTGTAAAGCATTTAAAATGATACGTGGCACATGGGAAAGATTCAGACATACTCATTACAACAGTTTTTTCTGCATAATTATCCATATCATTTGCAAGTTACAAAGAAGCTGCCCCTTTGTCACTCCATTTGGTCCTTGTGGTGAGGTCGAGAGGGCAGATAATAGTCCCGTGCTTTGCTGAGGAAGGACTTCACCTTCACAGAATGTAATTGATTTGTGCGGAGCTGTGCAGCAGGTAATTAATGTCAAGCTGGGTTGTGCCTCCTCTCTGGATACCTTCCCAACACGTCATGCCACCTGCAGTTACCGATGCATCTAATGACACTTAAATTTCTTTATGAAACTTTAAGTCATGTCAATATCATCAAGTAAGGAAGAAAAAGACAAAATGCTAAAAATAAAAGTCTGTGAAGTCATTTAGGGATCACTTATCCAGCCCACGAGTTGTCCACCTGCTGTTTCCTTCTTTCCCCTTCTCTGACTCACGCCTTAGTGAGAAATGGTACCTTCTCCCCGGCATTGCAGGAGGCTGGGGTGAGATGGAGGAAGGGGAATTCCCAGAGGAGTTATTTTTGTTAGTCTGCGTTTACTTTATGCCATACGATGGAAGAGAGGTCAGAAACTCTGGTTATATTGTGGACAATAATCTCGGGAAAAAGAAAGATAATCCTGAGGCCATTAGCAACTCAAAAACAACTTCATTTTGAGAAACATAAAATAGTTTACTTTGTACCTTAAAACTACGAATAGAAAACTATCAAACATTTGTTAGAAGGAAAAACCAAAACAGATAGTGAGATTGTTTAAAAGTGACACGGGTGGGCATTTGGTGTAAGCGTTGAGATGCCCGTGTCCCACGGCAGAGAACCTGGGATCTGTACCCAGTTTGGGCTCTTTATTCCCGCTTTCACCAGTGCAGTCCCTGGGAGGCAGCAGATGATGGCTCGAGTACTTGGGTTCTTGCCCCCCAACTGGAAAATCTGGATTAAACTCCTTCCTGCGGGCCATTGTGGACATTTGGGAAGTGAACGAGAAAATGAGAATGCATGCTCACTCTCTCTCTCCCTCCCTTTCCTTATCAAATAATGTACAAATACACAAAGAGACAGAAACTCAGGCATGTCTGAAATGACACGACACTTTCCTTCCTTGAATCTCCGGGTGTCAGGGGCAGTCCCTGCCTCTCACTTGGCCTTCCACCCAAGAGTGATGTGAGCGTGACAGTAGGGGGAGGGTGTGTGACTGAATTCCAGGTGAAGTTCAAGTGTGAGTCGATGCTGTTGGTGAGTGTTCACCACAGACAGCCAGGGAAACGTAGTCATCGGCAGTGTCTTCCCCAGCCACCATCAGCTTCCTGAACTTCTAAAGCAGCCACTCAGGATTCTCCCTGCTCCAGTAGCCACAGATACCCCACATGCACCAGTGCTACAAAATGGTCATCAGTTAGACTCGCAATTTTATAATTATTTGTAATTACAATAGAATTTTGGCAGGGTGGAGAGGAATCCATGTAATTGAAATAATAAAGGAAAAGAGAAAAAAGACATGTTTCTGTTTCCAAAAAACCAATTTTGAGCTTTCAGAATAATTGCTCAGTACTAATCAAATCTAATGACAGTTCTGTTCTCTAGTAGGGATTAATAATGGGCCCAGAACCTTAGAAAGCATTCCAGGGAGGACAGAATTACTCCCAGGAGGTTCTTGATGCAGCTGAGTTGGTTTCAAAGGCCCCCAAGCTGGGTGGGCTGGTCCAGGTCTGGAGAGGAGTCAGAAATGAGCTCATCACCCCTACAAGGTCTTTCAGAGAGACAAGGGGAACACTCACAGACTGAGTTAGTAAGCTGTGATTTAGGCTTTTCATCTACTTCTTTCAAGCTTTTGAAACACCTATTGAGGTCATCAGTTGATTCTAACTCATGACTGTCAGATTTTAAAGAGGCAGGAATTTTGCTAAGTTTGTTCTTGGTTTTAGTTTCTTTCTACTCATAGAATAAGAGTCTAGTATGTTCTTTGTGAAGATATATTAATTCAAATACATAACCAACATGAGACAAATGTAGGAAATAGATGAGTACAATGGTCCTAATAACAAGTGAACCCAACAGACAAGCATGACTTGGTCCTATCCCTTTTCAAATATGTGCTTAGTGAACATTCCGATTTAAGCAGGCAGCATAGCAGGTAGCAAATCAGCTGTTGGAACACATTCTTCCTTTTAAGTACATGCTACAGGGTATGATGACATATTGTCCTGAATTCTAGAGTAGGAAGCCTCTGATGTCAGTGGGTGTCTTCTCGGAGCTTTATGGAAAAGCTTCCGGTTTAGTCACTGAATGGAAAGCAGATACCCGGTCTCAGGCTGGCTGGAGGGATGTTGGGGAGAGTAGGGGACAGGAGATGCCAATCCACTATGGAAGTGAATCTGCAGTCCCCTGAAAAGTGTGAACAATGCAGAGAATACCAACCTGGAATCCAAGGTAAGAGTCCTACTCTCCCATAGGTAAGTCCTCTTGGTTTCCTACCAGAAAATAGGTGTATTGGATGAAAATTGTGCAGTGTCTACTGCTCATCCATCTCTTTGTGTTCCATCAAACATGGCAGCGTCTAGTCAGATGTGGCCATTGAGCAGTTGAAAGGTGCCAGTCTGCACTGTTTCCTAAAGCAGAAAATGCATGCCAGATTCAACACTTTAGTATCAAATATCTTACTGTGATTTTATAATATTGATTATGCTAAATAATAATATTTTGAGGTTTAGAGAATTAAATAAAAATGTATTATCTTTGAAATTAATTTTACCCTTATTTTTTCACACGGCTACCAGAAGACTTTAATTTACATATGTGATTCATATCAATGTTGATCTATATAAATCTGTGAAAACAAAACCTTCTTTGATTTCTAACTCAATATTTAGTTGGTCTATAAATAAGCATGTAGTCATTTGTCTATTTCTTTTTAAGTGTATCTTCTGATTCTCTTCACTCCAAAATATTATCTGTATACAAAGTACATGTACTATAATCATAAAATTTATTTAAAAACTAGTTGAATAGGGAAAAAATAAAGCAAAAAGTGAGATTAGTACTTACAGTGCAACTCAGTCATACCTCCTAGTAAGTATTGCAGTGGCTTTCCAGGGAAGGCTAAGAGCACTTTGTCAAAATGGGCAAGAGCCTGGGTTCAGATCCCACCTGTGCCACTTACTATGTTGGGCAAGTTATGCAGCTCTGTGTGCCTCAGGTTCCTCATCTGTAAAATGGAGACGTGCACCATATAAACACACACACACACACACACACAGTCCCCAACTTAAAATGGCTCAACTTAATGACATTTTGAGTTTACAATCTTGCAAAAGCCACAGGCATTCAGTAGAAACCAAACTTTGATTTTTGAGCTTGAATCTTTTCTCAGACCAGCGATAAGGGGGTAGGATACGTTGCTGTGATGCTGGGCAGCCCAGCAAGCTGGGGCCCCCCCATCACCCCGGTGATCAGGGATAGCAAACCACCAATGCTGTGCACTGTGTGGTGTTGCTAAGCTATGCTGTTTGGTGTGTTAGGCATATTAAAAGCAGTTTCCATTTAGGATAGTTTCAATTCAGGATGGATGTATTGGGATGTAGCCCTATCATAAATTAACACATGTATGGTTGTTGGGAAGATTGGATGGACCACATAAGCACATTTTAAATCCTATCATTATTTATATTTAAAGCAAGTTGGATGGGAGGGATGGAAAATAAAGTATTCTCTATATGTATTTTGCTGACAGTCTTTTCATCCAAGGATGGGTTTTGTAGAGGGATATATGGATTATATTTCCAGCAGTTCTTCCTAGTTGATATCTCTGTTGAAGATGCTTTAGATAAAGCATGGTGTGTGTGAGATTATAACCTAAGGCACCTGCCTGGAGGGAAGCTCTGCCCTGCTGCTGGGGACTACAGAGGCCCTACTTGATGGAGACACCCGCTCCTAAAGACTGAGGATCAAGATGCGCATGTGTGTGAATAGACAACTCCTCTACCTAAAATAAGCCTAGCCCAGTGAAAGTGGTCACTTTTTATGGAGACCTTTGAATAATGTCAGCTTAGCCTTAGGACAGCAAACTTACTCACCTGTAACTATCCCATTCGTAGCTGTATTTATCAATTTAATATTCAGTTTTTTTCTTAAGTATTTCAGAAATCCCAGTGCAGTTATCAATGAGATTAATTTATTGTGTACATCTAAAAACACAAATATAAAATGAATTTTGGTGGCAAAAAAGAATTTAAGTGAGTGTAAAATTTTAGGATAGAATCAATAAACAAATTCATCTCTCAGATTTCTACTAGTACATATTTTCTAAAATATATTTATTATTCCTGAACATGGCACTTACGTGGGAGAGTATGGATTGTATTTACATGATCCTCTTTCCTGTTTCACTTTAAACTGTGCTAGCATGTGGAAGACTCATTAAAGGAGTAGTTTCACTGTCTCAAATGAGTTAAGGTTGAATATTCTACAGTAGTGAAAGATTCAGACCAGAACTCAGGATCTGGAAGCAGGGTCAGCAGGCTGTGTCTAGGGTAGTTGGTCCTGAGCCACACTTGGACACGTTGCTCACGGCTGTTACCCAGTGAGGTCTCTTAGCCCCCATTGGCTGGGGCTGGCCTTACCTGCCCCCTTTCCTTGGTGACTGTTTGAGCCCTACAGCACTCCTTCATCTGACTTGGATAAATGGATATCTGCAACCCTTCCCTGGGGCGCACCTAACTTTCTTCAATGAACTTCCTTTACTACCTGCTTCAACTCAATAGTTTTCCTGTACTTTTTCTGTTGTGGCAATTCCTGAAATCTAAATACTATTTTGATGAGATTCAGCTAGATTCTGAATAGTCCACACACCTGGTGTTCAAAGTTAAAGCAATAACAACAACAAAATCACCATGGAACAGAGAGTTGAGCAATTTGATAAAATGTATATAAATTTGTTAATTACTCTTATACTTACCAGCTATAGACCACATAGATGCCAAGACACAGCTATGCCAAAAATGACATCTGTGGATTATGAAGACTGAACCTGAAGCCATTCTTTTTCCCAGTTTCTAACAATAAAGCATCAGGGGTATAACAGTGACTTATGGTTATATGTTTTTTCATAAACAAGAGCAAGACGTTAAGCAGGTCAAGGCAGCATCGAGCATATGGCTGGCTATTTTGATCCTCTGGAAGTTATTTTCAAATCCATCAAGAGGTTTATTTCTACCAATCATGATTTGAGGAAGGAAGGAGAAAGACAAAAAGGAAGGAAGGAGGGAGGATAGAAGGAATGACTTTGTGTTACTCCTAATGTTTTTACACAACGTGCAATGAACTATAGGATTGGCCAAACTAGAGTAACCACCACCAAACCCTTTCTGTTCTTTTTATGGGCCCAAGAATTCACTTCATCCAAAACACAGTGGCATTTCCTTTAGAAAACATGTCTGGTGAACCGATAGGTCTGTAATTTTCAAGTAATAGAATAGGATTTTTTTTCCTTAAGCGAGTATTCTGTATCCTAGGTTCAGGCAAACAAAAGCACACCACTGTTCCGTTCTTCCAGGGTACTAGGCAGCGTGTAGAGGCCATGCCAGTTCCTGGGGTTTTACGTGTTAAAGCCACTGGTCCACAGAGAAATGAAGAGGGCAGGATGCAGCTTCAGCAGGGCCACCGCCAGACCTCTGGGAGAACTAACCGGAGAGCACTCTTGAGAATGCCCCCCAGCATAGGGCGCTTGGCAGCTGTGGGGACACCGCGGCTCAGACGTGGGCTTTCGTCGCTCCCTGTTCAGCTTCTCCTGCATTCTGTCAATTCTCTTGATGCATACAGCTGGAAAAGAGGCCGGGCTTCCACAGTCTGGGCCACCTACCTCAAGACCTGTCCTCCATACAAGTCCACGTGGAATTATTAGCATGGACTATTCCCCTGGCAGAGAAAATTTGATGACAGAGTTGAATTAGATGTGGCCAGCAGGCGTTTGTTTGCTTGTTTTTCACATGTACTCTGGCTGGGATTTGGCCTACCAAAATTCCTTTTCAGATAAGGTTACAGAAGGACAATTGGGAAACAATATTCACATTTGCTGCCTGTCTTATTGAGAAGGCAGTGGTGATGGTTCTAAGAGCATTGACGCAAAGGTAATTCTTCAGGGAGAAGGACAGCTGTCATTGTCACTTTGTCATTGGTCACTCCAGGGAGTGGGACAACTTCATGTTGTTAGGTATGGCCTATTTATAAACTTTAAGGCATCCATATATTTAAACAACCCACACTTCATTGGAATTACTGGTAGAACACTTTAAAAAATGCCTTTGATTCAGAAATGTATAACCAGCAATGATAATGATCACTAGTCCCAGGTTCTCCTGGATATGCCCAGTTATAAAAGTGAAGGCTACAGAGAAGATATTTTTATGTGACTGTATAGTTATTGCTTTCTGAACCTTTTTACTGGAGCATGGAACCCAAGGTAAAGGACAGTTTAAGCAGTTAAATCATGGTGGATGGGAGAATTCCAAAGATGTACCTCTCCAGAGGCACCTGGTGGCATTCGAGGAGGTGAGGGGAGACTGGAGTGGGTCCCATAGCTGTACAACGTGAACCTAAGACTGATCTACCCCCTGGAGACAGGTTTACATTCCAAAGCCCAAGAACCCACGATCCTTCCCAAGTAGAATTTGTCTACACTAAGGAGGTCATTTCTCCCCATCTCCAAGAGTGGCTGGGGGCAGCTGTCCCCTCCTGAGTGTCCATCCAGAATGACAGTGTTGGAGCTCCTTACCTATGCTGTGGAACCAGTGTAGGTTGGCATCTGGTTCTCATAGTGTCAGCTGGAATGAGCAAATCCATACCTGGAAAACCAGTACAGTAACTTGCCATGAGTAAAGAATGATATGTTCTCCAAAACCCTCATTTATATTCATGATCATATTATACAAGGGTGCATCAGAAAATTAAAAGATGAGTTTATTTTGTTGCAAAAAAATTTGAAAGTCATACATATTTTACATAATCCTTACTTTTCAGGAACCTTTTATTTTATTTTTTTATTTTTTATTTTATTTGAAAGAGTTACATAGAGAGGAGAGGCAGAGACAGAGAGAGAGGTCTTCCATCCCCTGGTTCACTCCCCAGTTGGCAGCAATGGCCGGAACTGCGCTGATCTGAAGCCAGGAGCTTCTTCCAGGTCTCCCATGTGGGTGCAGAGGCCCAAGGACTTGGGCCATCTTCTACTGCTTTCCCAGGCCATAGCAGAGAGCTGGATGGGAAGAGGAGCAGCCGGGACTAGAACTGGCACCCATATGGGATGCCGGCACTTCAGGCCAGGGTATTAACCCACTGAGCCACAGCACCAGCCCCTTCAGGAACCTTTTAAATGTACCTTATAAATGTAGATATTAACCACTTTAAGAGTCAACTCAGACTTGTGTTAGACTACAGATTATAGATCCTTCCTTCTTCCCTTCCCCCAGATTCTAATTCCATAAGTTGGGTTCCATGACCTGTATCTGAACAGCTTGTTTGGGGAATACTGCACTGGCCATGGCTGTCTTAGCAAACAGCCTCTCCCTGATAACAAGCTTCCTTAGGTCCAGTTATCGTGCTACCCCTCCTCCCATCGTTGAATTGTAGTTAGGAGAACTTCAAAATGTATACATTTTTTACTCTTTTTTTTTTAAGCCATTTGTTTATTTGAGAGGTAGAGTTAGAGAGGTCAAGACAGAAAGAAAGGTCTTCCATCTGCTGGTTCACTCCCCAGATGGCCACAATGGCTGGAGCTGGGCCAGTCCAAAGCCAGGAACTTCTTCTGGGTCTGCCTTGTGCCACGCTGTTTCCCAGGCCATTAGCAGGAAGCTGGATGGGAAATGGAGCAGCTAGGACACGAACTGGTGCCCATGTGGGATGCCAGCGCCGCAGGTGGAGGCTTTAGCCTGCTACGCCACAGCTCTGGCCCCAGTCTTCCTTACTATTTATAAAATGTTTATTTTCATCTATTTGAAAGGCAGGATGCCTTTGAAACTTTTAAGAATTAAGCAATAAACATAGGCCTTATACTCAGATGGTCTTCAGAACACTTTTACATGCATTATCTCACTTAATTCTTAACAACCACATCTGAGATATGAAAATATCCCACCTTCTACAAATGGGGAAATAGGAGCAGAGAGAATGCCTGAGGCACGCACTCAGGGAATGCTAGACACCAGACCCCACTGACAGCTGAAGGTTTCAGGTGTTGTGCTCCTCTTGTGGACTGTGATGGCCAACCCATAAGCTAATGCCTTGTCCTTAAAAGATCTTGAGCCCCCAAGTCCGCAACTTTCTTAAATAGACCATCTTCTAAAGTCTCAGAGCCTTGAGAGTAGGAGCCAGAGGAAAGCAGGGAGGAGCACTGGTTCCGAGCTCCCGTCGCTGGTGGGCTGGTGGTCAGGCACTGGTTTGCCACCCTGGTGGAGTGCTTGCTGTGATGGCTCATCTAATAGCACTTTCCTCGCCGATTTGACATCTTTCACCTACCTACAGTTATTTAGCACGCTTAATAAAAACTTGCCATGGCAGTAGTGACATGCAAAAATGATCATTGTTAGAGTGTGAATTTAGAGGCCAACAAGGTCACTGTTGAGATTAGTGCCATAGTCGCAGTGCATAGCTTTGACTGTGGAGCGGCACAGTTTCTCCAGCTGTTTTGGGGACGATATTCAGAGTCCCTTCAGAATCCGGGTCAGAAGGCTTACATCTGCCCTTTCTTGGTCTGACACTCTTGTTCTTTCTCTTCACAAAACAGGATCTTCAGAGGCAGACTGGACAACTGGAGACCCAGGCCGCCGTCCGCAGCGCAGGCCTCCACCCGCTCCCCTTGCATGCCTTTCTCGTGGTTTAACGAGAGCCGGAAAGGATCCTATTCCTTCGGAAACCCGTCGTCACCTCCAAGTCCCCTTCAGCCTTCTCCTGAGACTCTAAGTTCAGATAAAAAGAGGTCCAAGGTAGAAAACACGTGAATTAACCACGCAAACAAGGAAAACCCAATCCCTCCTTCTCTTGTCTTTGGAAGGCACTGTCAGCTTGTTTGTGCACCCTGGACCTGAGAAACCAATGTGATAACACTGAGTTCACAGTGCATGGTGTTTCCTGGGTGGGAAACGGAAAGCCCCACCTAACCTTCACCTCTTTTAATACTGTTCTGTTCTCGATTGTGCAGGACTCTTTGATTGGCCTGTCTTTCCACAGATTGCTGTGTCGTCTCGGTTTGCCAGTTTAGCCATGCTGGGAAAGATGCATTGGAATCATGGATCAGGGTGATAGATCTGTTGACCAAGTATTCTGCTTTAAAATATAGAACTAAACTATTTCGCTGTGCTCTTCAGAATTTACTGGAAAACAAATACAGTTGGGACCAATGTATGTTCAGTACATCTTCATGAAACTGTTTCAAAAAATGCAGGCGTAGCGTCCTGACTCACTCCTTCCTTTGGTATCAGACTTCCATGCTGAACAGCTGTTGTAATTCTGTCACCAACGGTCTTTAACTTAAGCGGAATTACTAGTGACCTGCATGAGTGTTACTTGCTTTTCAAATGCATGGTGGTGATTTCCAGCATGACACTGCAAACCTTAGCTAACATTTTATTGAACCCCATGTGGTCGCTAACCCTCCTCACACGTTGTTCAGTGTCCTTTACTCCGTGATCACTTTTCTTCTCTTGAACAGAAACGTGTGGTTAACGTTACTTGAATTTAATTTAATTTTTTCTTGAGGTCAACAGCTCACAGGATTTGGGCCGGGGCCTGGAACTGCGTCTACACTAACAGTGCCCAGGGTGAAGTTCTGTGTTCAGTGTCCCCTGCTGGGCTGCCCCCCTGGCCTCAGCCTCACACATGTGCTGGCATTTAGGCTCCTTTTCTACAGTTATAGCAAGACCTTGGAGTAGGTCTGGTACTGAGTTCTCCAGCCTCTGGTGTGGTGTTTCTTGTTGATAACCCACTCCTCCCAGTGCAAGGCAGCCTAACAGAACACGCCTCATAGCCCAGTTGCTAGGGAAGTGGGTCCTGAAACAAGACGGTCGAATGCATAGAGCTTCTGAGAACCCAGCCCTGGCAGAGCTACCAGCAGCTGTTATTTTGACACCCACACACGCCTTTGGCCTGGGGACATTTTCAGTGTTGGATCTGAGACATCTAAATGTTGCCTGAATGATTCTCCTATGATATCGTACTAAGGAGACTCCAGATTTGGTTTACAACATTTACAGGAGTGCAGCCACATAGCCCTTGTTAAGTTCTTTGATCTTAATACCCACTCAGCATTTTAATGGAGTTTCATGGGGGGAGCTTGATTGACCAGTTCCCACCTCCCCCAGCCCCAAGTGGTAACTTGGCGGTGTGTATCTGCCCTGTGCTGCAGTCTGTTTGCTACTCTGCTAGTGCTGGCAGAGAGCTGTTTTCAGCGTGTACTACGTGTGTGTTGTTGGCCTGTGACCGCCCCCAGAGCTCATCATCTTGAAGGGTACATCCAGGAGAGGATGCACCACTTATCACAGTATTTATCACAGCCAGGAACGCGCAATCCTTCCCAGGGGTGCTCCAGCTACCTTGCTAATAGGAATTGCCATCTGTTCTTAATAACTCAGCCTCTCTCCACACCATCTTGTGTTTTTACTTACACTGTTACTTGTCACGATTAGGGTCAAAGAAGAGAGCTTGATTAATACTACTCCTCCGAGCAGTTGCCAAGGATAATGAATTCTGTACCCTTGAAGGGAGACTGAAGAATCCTTCCTCTAAAACACCCATGCTTTCATCAGACGGGGAGAGAGCACAGAATTCCCTGTTAGCTGCAGAAGGCACCGCGTTCCCAGTCACTGCACGGGTGACGGCTGTCGCGGAGCCAAACCTGAGTTTCTTCTAAGATTTCTCTGGAAGATTCCCTCTGGAACGCAAGCACACCTACCTCTGGCCCCTTCCCTGTGCCCATCTAACGCCGAGCTCTCTTTATTCTGGCAGAATCTTACCTTCAGTGACGACTTCAGTCCCAGCAGCACCAGCTCTGCAGACCTGAGCGGCTTAGGAGCGGAACCCAGAACACCGGGGCTCTCCCAGTGCTTAGTGCTGTCGTCAGATGAGGTACTTGCTCGGCACGCCGAGACAGCTGCCTTCTCAAGGCCAAGGTTGCAGCATGAACCCTCTCCGGGAAAACGTTTTCAGGGCAGCTTTGCAGGGAAATGGTCAGGACAGTAGTCTTCTGAGGTTTTTGTTTGTTTGCTTGTTTTTTTTAAATCTAATAGGAAAGCAAAGCATTGTTGCTAAGACCCTTTAAGGGACCCCTTTGCTGTACCTCTGAGGAGGCCGGGCACTGGGGGGCCAAATAGAGGAGCAGCTCAGAAATCACGTGGAAGTTACAAAGCACGTATTCCCTTTCTCCCTTGCCTCCCCTACAACAAGCCCTAGCCCTGTGATTCGGATTGCCTGGGGATAAGGGTGGCCCCTGATGGAGAATCCTTGCGGTAGGGCGTCACTTTTCTACTGAGGGAGGGAAGCAGGTAAGGCCCTCTTCCTTAGAAACCAGGGTCTGGATGAGCATTGCTAATTATCACAAGGAACCGTGTACCACAGATGCCAGAAACCACACATCAGGGTTGACGTAGTTCTCAGAGGGGTGGGGACAGGAAGGAAGACAAAGATATTTTGGCTCTTATTAAATATGTTTCTTGTTTATGTCTGATAGGATTTTTGTTATTTAAGACTTTTCCTCGTAAACTTTTCTGCCCATGTTCTTCAGGTTTTTTGTGATTTTAAGTGTTTTAGAACTGTACTCTGAATACACTGTGTGTCCTGGTTCTGTAACACTTTTTTTCTCGATTCCTTTGTTGCTCCCTCGTTCAGAGCCTGGATATGATAGATGATGAGGTGAGCTCGCTTGTGTGGGGCCACTCTTGGGGTTATTGTTTGAACCTGCTTGTCTTTCTTTGCAGATGGCTTAAAAATCAAACAGTGCAGGAGCACTTTGCTCTGTAGCAGAGGGTTTCCTGTGTTAAACAGCTTCACTCTGTGCCCTTGTCCGCATCTTACTCTGAGATGTCCCTGAGGGAAGAGGAGGTCCCGACTGCCCCTCCAGAGCTCCTCGACTCACCTCCCATCACCATTGCCTTGGCACAGCCCATTCTCGTCCATGGCCTTGGCTTTCATCCCAGCTTGCCCCATCCCCTCCTCTGTGTTCCCCACATGGGTCACCAAGGTGACTCCCGCCCTTCCTCTAGGGGCCACCATCGCCTTCATCTCCTCTCAGCTTAGCAGCGCTAGGAACTACCCACCTCTTTGCCGTTCTGCGGTGGGCTGGGCCCGAGGTGTGAGACGGGACGTTAAGCACTAGCTGTTGAGCTCCACTACTGTCTGTCTGTGGGGTCTTGGACAGACCAAGCAGCCTGCTGGGTCTCAGCCTCGCCATGTGTTAGAGGTAGCTATGGACATTGCCTGCCCTGTCTTCCGTCACAGATTTGCTTGCTGCTTAAAAGGAATAAAATGATGGTGGACTTTCCCCTAAGAAAGTTTGAGGGCTTAATGCTCTCCTCTTCCAAGTGAAAAATATTTCAGTATTCTTGAATGCAGTTTACAAAACTGTCATGTCTCATCCGTGGATAAATGCAGAGTGACACAATGCATGCAGAGACATACGAGACATTTGTTTTCCACATTCGATCATCTTTCCAGGGTGTTTGAATACAAAAATTTGCAACATGAGAGTGTATTTTTTCAGTATTAAACTTCATACATGAGTAATGCTGCTTTTTTTCTGGGGGAATTTTGAGATTTCCAAATACCTAAGAACATGTAGGTAAGAAGCGTGTATCTTTTTAACACAGCTGGAGCCATCAGCTTATTACTTTATGGTTTGGCAGTAAATGTGGCTCCAGTCGGTTAAGAAATTGCTTTTGATGGTGTACTACAAGCCATGGCGTTCTGGTCCTTTAACAACACTGCGTAACATTCCTATCTCAGATCCTTGATGATGGACAGTCTCCCAAGCACAGTCAGTGTCAGAATCGAGCCGTTCATGAGTGGAGTGTGCAACAGGTTTCTCACTGGTTAATGAGCCTAAATCTGGAGCAGTATGTATCTGAATTCAGTGCCCAAAACATCACTGGAGAGCAGCTCCTGCAATTGGATGGAAATAAACTTAAGGTAAAGAATTATATGTCTGTGGTAGGTTATCAGGTATAATTTGTATTCCTCAAAGCACCCGAAATGTTTTCATTAGGTACGAGCTTTTGCATATCGTAGCAGTAATTCTCAGTGACAGTAGTCAATGAGTTCCAGAAGGTGTTCAGGGGTTCTCCATCAAGTGTCAGGCTGCTGATTAGGAGAGCTAGGGACCCACTCCATGGCTTCCACCCAGCAGCACATGGGCCACTTATTAACTGCATACTTCCTGCATGGTATGAGTTTTAATAATGGCCAATGTGGACCTGGTCATCGCATTAAAATTACAGCCCCAATCCATGAGTCTTCCTTTGCGTGTTCGTTCTCCTCTACCCCCATTTCCCTGCGCACCACCCAGTGCTGGGATGGTCTTCTCCCAAAACTTCCTTCCCTGAGTACATGCAGGCCCTGGCTTCCCCACCCGCTCCATCACTCTCATCTCCGCTTGTCCAGTCCATCTGTCTAAGAGCCTGCGGTGGCACCCACCCCTGTGGGAAAAGGGCAGAAGTTGCTCACAACCAGTTCCAAGGACCCCTCCACCCCACCCCCAACCCCCAGCCCCCAGCCCCCTGCCAGGCTGACGGGCAGATGAGCAGCTCTTGACAGCGTGGAAAAGGTTAGGGATCAGTCAATAGCTGGTGACGCTAAAGGCCCCTTGACAAGGCCTCCCTGCTGGGGAGATGGATGCATCCCCACTGTGGGTTCTGAAGGTCAGAAAACATTTAAAGTATGCAACCAACTCCCCTTGCTCTGCATTCCACGCGCATAGAGCAGCCACCTCATTATAGTCAGGCTTCTGTTACAGGCCGGCCCACAGGGAGAGAATGGTGGGTCCCGCTGGCGGGAGCATTCCGGCACCAGCAACACCCTTGGTTCCCACTGTAAACGAACCCTAGAAGGGAAGCCAGCACTCTTCCTCATGCCCCTTCTTGGAGCTCTGTGGCAACAGGTGCCCACCCCACCCTTTGAGGTGCTATTTCCCGTAAATGGCCACAGCCCAACGATGGGGAGAGTGGAATCGTGCTGTTTTTCCCATTTGCTCACCCATTAGTTACCAATTTGGAAAAGTGCTTAATGAGTTTTAGGGTGTACTTTGTAATGGACTTCGAAGCATGAGTGCAGTCCTCCCCTACGAAGTGTGTACATGTTTAGCACATGCAGCAGCTCCTCCTCCGTCCTTTCTCATTGATGCTTCAGTTAGTGTGTGAGTCTGGACAGACTGTGATAGTAGCCTCGTCGGCCGCAGCCAGGTCACGGCTTCGCAAATTCAGGCTGTGCGTGTTTTCCTCCTCAGGCTCTTGGAATTACTTCATCTCAGGACCGCGCAGTAGTCAAAAAAAAACTCAAGGAAATGAAGATCTCTCTCGAGAAAGCTCGGAAGGCCCAAGAGAAAATGGAGAAGCAAAGGGAAAAGCTGAGGAGGAAAGAACAGGAACAAATGCAGAGGAAGTCCAAAAAGACAGAGAAGATGGCGTCGGCCGCCGCGGAGGGCGCGGGGGAGCAGTAGCGCGCCCTCCTGCAGGGGGCGCAAGGCGCGAGGAGAGCCCGCCCCTGCCTGCCCTGCTGGCCTCCCGAAGAAGAAGAAAGGCACGACCGGGTGGTGTTGCGCTAGGCAGATGGAGAACTGTGTGTTGCGTGACTGCATTGTCTGCAATAATAGAATGCACTCCCAATTTTAATCTACTGAAGTTATCCCTTGGCACGTTGGGTTTATCCACACACCAGAGATCTCATTTGTGAGAGAAGCAAGGTGGCCAATCTTTTCCTCACCAACATCTTGTGTTGTGTTGGGTGTGTTGTGCCCCCTTGGAGAACCAGCAGGACCCTGCCCCAGGAGAGCATGACACACCCTGCTCGTGCTAATGGAGTGAGTTTTCAGTACGCGGTCCCGAAACTGGTCAGGAGCTGATTCCACACAGCTGGGAGCTCCCTGTCGCGAGACCTAGGCTCAGAGCGAACTTCTAGGGCTGCAGAATCTACTTCAGCAGGTGGGACACATTCCCCCTCAGTGCTCTGGGTGTGGGGGCCGTGGGAAAGCCCCACTGCGGGGGGACATGGGTGCTCCGCCCCGCGATCACCCACTGAAGGGAAAGGCTCACCCACTCTTCTGTCTGCGGGAACCGGAGAGAAGGAGTTAGCTGTTGCTTAGCTCTAGAAGGAAGCAAAAGCCTTGCAGACGTGGGCCTGGGTACCCCTTGGAGTTCTGAGGGTAACATTTCTCCTCCAGATACAGCTGAACAAGGAAGAGAAACACAGACATTCATGCAGCAGTGGGGTATCGGGGTCTGCTGTTTACTTTGCTGCCGGCTGCGTGTTCGCTGTGTCAACAACACCAGCAAACACAGCACAGTTCCTTTTCCTCTCCCCAACAGATTGAACAGGAAATTGATTTTTAAGGAAACCAACATTTTCAGGTGTCGTCTCCTGGGGAGCGTTCCCCAACCTTCATCCTGCCTGTGACACAGTCGGGAACGCGTCCCTATTTTCTACTCAAGATTTCCCTAGTGGGCTCAGCTAGTGTTTTAACACATGTTCTCGTAAGAAAAGCAAAAACACCAGTTAAGGAAAACTTAGGTTTGAGTAACATGCTGCCCTGAGGTGATGTCTTCGAGCACAGAGAATATTCCTTGAAAGGAAAGCTGTCTGCCCCGTTTTAGAGGTGTTCTGAATGGCTTCGCCTCCACACTTTGCAGATTTTCATTTTTTTATTCGCGTGTGTTTATGGCGGTCCATAGGCGACACTTTAGTCGTGGGGGAACTTGTACTTATTTTAAAGCCAGTATTAAGGAGTCCAGTATTTCACCAAACTGAAGTGAGTGCGGGAGATTGGGGCAGGAGGAGGAGAAGGTAAACCCACCCTGGGAGATGGCAAGTGGGTTGGATTTGGTTGCTTGCTTTTGTTTTATGTTGTATGCTCATGGGTCTGGTTCTGTTGGCTGAGGTCATCTACTTTCTAAAGGACTGGTTTCATGATGAGGCTTGAGGCTGGGTGAGTGCTTGGCCGAGTATTTTGCTCCCTTTACCCTCCCGGCCCCTCCTCTGTTCCTGGCGGTATCTAAATCTCCGGGGGAAGTTTTGTGTTTGCAGAGCTTGGGGACAGTGTTGGAGCACCACAGATGTCAGAGAACTTAGGGGCCCTCTTGCCCACAGAGCCCCCATGTCATATTTTGAACATCGTGGCTTACTTCTTTCTTTCTTTTTATCTTATCTGAAAATCGAGTTCTGGGACTGTCTAAATAAGGAATTTATAATCCTGTACCCCCTGCCGCAGGCCTGCTTCCTGTTCAGTGGGAGTGGAGTCTGTTTTGTCATGGGTACAGATCATTCATTCATCCTCAGAAAAGCTGACATAAAGTCAGACTGTGTTTACCATGGTCAAAGTCACCACGGTGTTTTGCTCTCCATCACCATGTGGGGTCATGATAATGAAGCTGCCATACTGGATGCTCTGTTAACATCTGGAGACGTCTGGTGCTTTGCTATTTATTAATATCATGAGAAATGAGAAGCCACTATTAATGAACTATACAATTTGGAATGCTTTTCTAATACTAAAATACTACTAAATTATTAAAAATCTGCTTTGTAAATTTTTGCTCATCCTTGGGGGAAAAAAGTAGCCTGGCTCACACTGGAAGTTTCACCGCGTTCATTTCAAGGGTGGAAGTTGAGTTATGTTTACACTGGGTAATATTTTAAAATGGGTGTATATATTGAAGATGTCTATAAGTCTGTCTCTGCACATAATTTATGATCTATTATATTGCATTTTCTTACATGTCTTAAAAATATTATTCTTTGTTATAACTTTATTTGTACATTTTCAGTATTTAGATCAGTGTCCCAATGGACAATGTTATAAATCAAATTCTTATTCATCAAGTCATCTAGCTTGTATTCTAACTATCTTTAAGTTAAATTATAGTAATTTTAGGGCTAAATGAGCTATCTTAACATTACTACTTAAAACTGCTGAATGTGCAAAAGGAACCTGATTTCACTGATGGAAGGGTATGAAAAAAAAGTGAAGGCCCTCAGATCTTGTGAGCATTTTGTTTTCCTGTTATTTCGTTTCTTATTGACTGTAGCGCACGATGCCCATTTGAGGTTGCAATGTCTTGCGCAACTCCTGCTTTATTGCTCTGGCTTTTCACTGTCCATACAGTTTCACATAGAATCATTGCTTCATGAAACTTAAAGATTTTTGCTTTTTTTATTATCAAAAAAAATGAATAGAAAGGGAATATGTGGTCCTTAAGAGATATAGTCCCTACCTACAGTGACGAATGTCCCGAGGGGCCTCTCAGTGCGACTCTGGCAACAGGCAAGCGTGCCTGGGGCTTAGACAATGCTGTGCGGAGTGGGGGTGTGTGGTGGGGCCATGCTGCAGACAGCAGCGTATGCGCTGCATCTGGGTCAGGGTTCTCCACTGGAGGACTTTGGTTTTATAATCCATCACTTTGTTAAGGTAACTCAGAGTTTGTGAAACACTCTTCCCATTCTTTTCTTGCCTGAATGAGGAGTTTACCCCCAGAGTGTTCAGTACAGACAGAAACCTCATTTCTCCCATTCTAACTCTCGGATGAGGCCGCCTTGGGTTTCATGACAATGAGCCATGCTGTGCTGGCTGCCTTTAGCTGGGGCTGACATTGATTTCCCACCCCCAACATCACATACGCCTTGTTAACCCACAATAGTTCATGATTGCAGGCTGAGAGGTGCTGAAGCTTTCAACCGGCAAGAAAGGGGGCCATCTACATCATGAAACAAAAGTGACAAGAGGAAAAGCGAGGAACCAAATCCACCCTTGTCACTCCCCGTGACCCTGTAGTCATCCCTGGCCTGAAATCTTAAAATATCCCAGGCCCAAGCTACAAATTCATCACAGGTTATTTAATCTGGTATCTCAGCCTTTACAGTTTTTGTTGGACACAGAATTTTCACCTAGTTTCTTTGTACAATAGGATTAACATACGAAAAAACGACATCATAAAAGAGGTAAATGGGAACTTTCATTTATACAAATATTCTGATTCATTTATATGTGTTTCAAGTTACACAGACTAAGCGTCAAGAGGAGACCCAGTGCTTGAACAATACTGTTGATGAAGAATCTAAAGAGAGGTGCCCCAACAATTCTGAAAGGAAGAGCTACGCTATGTATATGTTGTAAGCCCCTCTTTACGCTGTGATATTTAAGAAGTACCAAGTTCCGTTTGAGTAACTAGAAGTAATCTCAACAGAACTGGAAACAAAGGGCACTTCACTTGTAGGGTCACTGTCACCTACTTCATGCTAAGGCCCAAAATGAAAAACCAAGTCTTTTACATCATTTTAAATTTGCCTTTGATCATAGATCTACCTATGTGCTATTCTAATAGAAACATAGTATTTCAGGATGAGGTCCAGAAAGAAAGAAAATGAGAAACTGTATTTTCCTATCAGAATTGTTTCCAATCTGATGGAATGAGGAGGAAGGTAAATTCTCTAAAGAAAGTGTCGAAGGGCGCTGGACATGAATCAGTGACTCTTTCCTGGAAACCAGGCTGAGTAGATGGGCAGATTTTATTTACAGTTGTATTGGGCATTTGAAGTCTCAGGAAATTTAGTTTTGGTCCAAAACACTGAGGGGAAAAAAAATAACACCAGATGAAGCACATTTTAATAACCTAAGGTAGCAGTATAGAGTAGGCCCAACTTCGAAGCCAGAGGGGAAAGGCAAAACCTGCAGAATCACATCTGCCCTGCAAAAAGAGAGCGAGAGAGTTCTCTTTATGGTCATCCGAGGGTCCTTGCTGGCTTGTACAGGAGTTGCTGGAGTGGTAGCCACACGCAGGTGTACTTATGTGGGCGTGTGGACCAAGAACAGCTTGTGAGCTACTTGCAGATCCTTAGAGTGGGGAGGGCACACCCACAACCTCCAAATCACTAGAGAGACAGCAGTGAGTCAGAGGTAAGGAGTGAGAGAACAACAGGTCACTTCTCCATAGTGTGCATGCCACTTGTGTAGATGTTCAGAACTACAGATGTGTGAACCTGTCTCCCACCGCACACACACACACATGCACACCACAGTCACCTGGCATAAAAGCATCTGCTTCTGGAACTTGGTAATGTCAGTTAGGACCCTGAGCTGCAATCACGGCCTTTTGCCACTTTTTGTGTTGTGTATACATTGAATGGCTCATAGATTTTAAGAGATTTTTTTAATGTAAGTATTTCTACTAAATGCACTTATCCTTCTACATGTTTATATATTTTGGTAAAATTGATTTATTAGATACTTGGTATTTTAGTAAGAGGAAGTTTCCTCAGCTGTTTTGTTAATGCTTTGATGCCAAGCTTGCACACTGCTGAGCAGGCACTCAGGAGACATTTGGGCAGCCTGTGGCATTTTCCACTGCAACCTGCAGTTTTCTTAGCTAAAAAGTGCACCGTGTGCTCTTGCACCTGTCTCACGCTTATTCTAAAATGACATCACTGGTAGCTGTGATGCTTGTCATCAACCACTGGCGCTCTGGTGGTGACATTGCCATCACATGACCATTTAGTTACTTCTCATGCCAAGTCATGGCATTTTGGTCATCACCAAAAATACGGCAAGTGGTTTTGAGTACGAATCTGTTGTTGGAAGGTGTACACTTCTGTTTCTTTCCACTATTTTATCTGTATACCCTGGTTTTCTGTTAAAGATTTAATCATCCATTCATTTGTGGTAGAACACTTAACCAAAAATAAGTTAACTAAAAAAGTGGAAACCAAAAGGCACTCCAGCTACACAACACCTTGCAACAATATCACATTTAGCTGATGCTCAGTGAAGTTCCTCAATCCACGTTTTCCTCATTATTATTTAATATCATAACTATTGCTTCTGTGTCTCTTAATAGTATTGCCATTCAACCACTAGTACACCTGCTATGTAATTCTGACAAAACTGGGCAGCTGAAAAACAGAAGAGAATAAATTCTGTTCCACTCTAAGAAATTGACGGATTTTCATCTTTCTTTGTGTATCATTAAGGGAAAGGAGCTGTTTGAAAATAATTTTAAGTCTGATAAGTGTGGATAGCATGTTACCTGGGACTTTTAATTTGTACATTTTGATGTCTGATCATTTGCATGGAAGAGACAATAGTGCCGCGTCTGAATTGTTCTCTTGTGCTTGGTTAATCTGTACCTCTCTAGATTGTTCTGTTTCAAATGACATTCCTTACTCTTTGGTTTTCAGAGGCATTCAAAGCAAAACTCTCACAGTGGTCTTTTGTTTTTTTTTGATCAACCTAAAAAATACCTGTGATTAAATTTTGATTTGTTAGTGTAAATAAACTTCTTGCCAATGAGTATTATTGTTGTTAGACAACGAATGCAATAAAAAGAGAAATACAAAGATCTGTCAATGTAATTTTTCCCTCCTCTTCCATTTTCACCTTCAACTAAAACAAGCCTCAACCTGGTAAACCTGCATTAACCATCAAAACATATCTGTCAATCAAGAGAAAAGTACACATTTTTCATGGAAATGAAACTAAAAATAAGTTTTAGCTCAGGTATTTTGTGCATTGGCAGCTAGAATTACATCTGAAAGTACAATTATGGAACTGGGCATAAAGTTACTGGAACCTCCCCTGGAAGCTGCCACACCCAACTTATCACATAGGAAAGGATCTGTGACTAATCCATTAAGCCTGTCCCAGCAAGGGGCTTGTTGAGAGAGAAGCAGCCTCATCTCAAACAGTGAAACTTCAGAAGATTTGGTTTTACCAAATGAAGGGTCTTATTGTCATATATCCCCCCCATGCACACACACACACCTGTGAGTAAATCTTTGACAATGCAAAAATTTAGATCTCGGCATCACAGAATAAATGAATTAAGCTATTTCCCCTTAGGATGTAATGTTATGAGATTTCTTTTTTATTTATTTGAAAGGCAGAGAGAGTGAGTGGTATCGCTCATCCATTGGTTCACTCCCCCAGATGGCCACCATAGCTAGGGTTGAAGGGTTGAGCCAGTCCAAAGCCAGGAGCCTGGAACTCAATCTGAGTTGGGACCCGACTACTGGAGCCATCACTTGCTGCCTCCCGAGGTGCGTGTTAGCAGGAAGCCAGAACGGAGAAAGGCAAGGGGACTTGGACCCCGGCCCTGCAGTACTGGATGCCGGCATCTCCAGTGGCAGGCAGCACATCCTCCCGCACCTGTCACTCAGCTTTCTTGCCAAGGTGCTGCCCTTTTTTTTTTTTTTTTTTTTTTTTTGACAGGCAGAGTGGACAGTGAGAGAGAGAAAGGACTTCCTTTTCCGTTGGTTCACCCCCTAATTGCCGCTGCGGCCGGCGCACCGTGCTGCTCCAAAGCCAGGAGCCAGGTGCTTCTCCTGGTCTCCCATGGGGTACAGGGCCCAAGCACTTGGGCCATCCTCCACTGCCTTCCCGGACCACAGCAGAGAGCTGGCCTGGAAGAGGGGCAACCGGGACAGAATCCGGTGCCCTGACCAGGCCTAGAACCCGGGGTGCCGACGCCGCAGGCGGAGGATTAGCCTAGTGAGCTACAGCGCCATCCAGCCCTCTGACTTGAATGCTTGCTATGACACATTGGATAGCTTTCTTTTGGGGACAGAATGTGCTTACTCTATCAAGAACAGAAATACAGAATATGGCCCATGAAAACCAAAACAAACAACAACAAAGACATCTCTACCACTACCTCAGCATCAGTATAGTCTTTGGCAAATGCTGCACGTTCTCTCCCATATGCACAAGTTAAAGCCCATCTATATGAATTTAGACTAAAGAGTGCTAGAGATTGGGGAGGGGAGGGGAGGGGGAGAAGTGGAGAGGGGGTTGGATAACGGGCACCGAAACACTGAGATGCTTCACTGGGGCACTGTGGTTCAGAGTAATGTATCAGATCCTGGATAAAGAACTGGGAGAGAGGAATTGGTAGCTGCCAGACATAAAGAAAAAAGATAAGGAAATAGAAATGTGAATTGCCCGATTTGACCAAGGTAAGCTGTACGCCCCATATACAAGTGCTGAAATATTACACTGTACCACGTAAAAATGTACAAGGAATCCACAATAACAAAAAATTAAAATATGGAGAGAGAAGGAGAGAAAACGAGTGAGTTTTGGGGGCACTTAGCTTAACCTGAGTCAATTATAGGTTTTATTCTGTATCCAACCATTTAACCAGGTCAAAGAGACTGAAATATACAATGCTTAGTTAGCAGTGCTGAGTCAACAGACACTTGGGATTTTCAGGGGTGACGACACTTCCAAGAATTCTACCTGCCATTGCTGCAGGACATTGAAAAGAGAATCAAGGAGAGCCGGGGTCATGCAGGTTAATGGGTACTGAGAACGCCTTACATAGAAGGGGACGGTGGATGCAAGTGTGAGGACGCCAGGGTGTCCAACCGCTCGGCTACAGAACCGAGCCTGGAGTGGAGAGCTCACCGCGCTGCACAGTCGGGGAGCTGGAGTCCCTGAGTGAGGACTGGGGTTCTGGCACCGTGATCCCATCCTGCTCCCCTGTTCTCTGCTGTAACAGCACATGCAAGGCAGAAATACACTCAGATAGTTTCAGGGAACAGCAGTGGTAGGGAATGTACTTTTTGGACGATAAACGGTTAACTTATTAAGGACTCAACAATTGACATGATAAATTTCACTATTTTAATGAAAAGGGGCTTTATTGGTAAAGTATCCCAAGACTGATTTGAATTCACGCTCAAAAAGCCCTACTCTTCATATCCACTCTAGGCTGCGATGCAGTTGATGTCAAATTTAGGGTTGTCCATCATCCCGCCGAGGGCACTGTGGCCCCAAGAATGTGGCCGGCAAGCAGTTGAAATCGTGGGTGCCAGTGTCCGCGGCACGGGTGCTAATTGGCCTGTGAGAGCTCACAGTAGAGAGCTTTGTGGAACACGGTGCCAACCAGCATTTTCCCTTTGTACACAGCGGCCACCGTGCTGCCCTGTAACACAGTGCCATTTTCTGCATAAGCCACTGTCACTTTGGGCTCTTTGGATAAAATGTCCTGGATTCGAAGCACCTATCAAAGCAATAACAGGTTAATATGACACTAAGTTTAGGTTCACACTAGGTCGCACACCACAACTTTCAGCATCAGGTCATTTCTCTGTAAGAAGCCATTTAGAGCAGTCATACTTTGTTCCAAAATTTTACATTTCAGACACCCATTTCCTCACTTGCAAACCAACAGGTTTTGATCATGCGATTGTTTGTTGGTTTGTTTGTTTCATTTATTGAAAGGCAGAGAAGTAGACAAAGGGAGATCCGATGTCCTTAGGTTCATTCCCCAAATGTCTACAAAATCCACCCAGTCTTGGTCAGCCTGAAGCCAGGAGCCAGGAACTCCGCTCCCAGCAGTCACAATGAGGAAGAGGAAGCTGGCAAGGAATGGGGTAGTGAAGTCCCAGGCTTCCGCTGGGTCACGTCCAACAGGCAGAGGCCAAGTTCCTCCCAGATGGCCTGCTCCACACACAGCTCCCTTCTCTCCTGGCTTCTGATAACCATTTCCTGCTCTCTTGCTGGCCCTGGAATTTGCATTATTCCCTTATACACTAGGAGTATCCTTTTACTCAAGTCTCTTCAAAGTACCATCTACGTCCTGCCTAGACTCTGACCAAAATATCCCCGTAAGTCCTTTCATTTCTAATCACTTAGATCATCTATACATGTGTCCCCCTTTATTTTTATATACAATTGAGAATTGTTTTTCATGAAAAAATAATAGCTGAGAAAAAATTATCACGGACACAACTAACTTTTCAAACTGACCTCTGATGCAGGAGGATTCTTTGGGTCATAGTAGAAGATTCGCATGCCATTGGGATGACAACCAACCCAAAGGTCCCCTGTCACAGGATCCACGGATATGTTGTCCACAAGAGTGTTAAAGTCGAGGGACTTGCAAGGTGCAAACAGGGAGAGAAGGAAAGGCAAAGTGAAAACAATGCAGCTACAGCCTTGTCAGTTTCTGGTTACCACACAGCAGTGTCCAGGGACCGGATTCAACAGCGCGAGGGAACTCCTCTGGCCTTCTGTCCGTGCCAGTATTTTGTTCGTTTCCAGAACAGATGGGGCAGGCAGAAGAGACGGAAAACCAGGGAACACTGGCAAAAGTTAGATGCAATCATTTGAACTAACATCTGTCCCTGAACCTAAAACTAGGAAAAGAAAGTTTTTTAAGTGCAGCATAAACCAGTCGCTTCTAAAACAGCATGCACAAATGATGTTCTTACAAGCATTCCGAACACAAGCAGGAAACGTACGTTCATTTCTGATGAGAACCCAGATGAAATGTAGGCTCTTTAATGGCTAATGATAGGCTGTGCAGCCAGAGAAGAAATGACCACCTAGGGTCTAATCTTTGCCTTGGAGTTGAGAAAAAGTTTGTTCTTTAAGTTCCGCGATGTTATTCAACTCCCTGTTCTCCTGCTATTTATTCTCTCCATATAAATTGGAAGCGCAGGATGACTGCTCGGATTGCTGTTGCACCTTTACATCAGGATCGTAAATAATACCAACGATTCTTCATTCCACCATGCATCATCTTGGCTGCCTTCTACCGGAGAGAAATCCCATCTATTTGTTTACCTGTAGCTCTCACTGGAGAAACAATATCTCCCATGTACCTCAGAGTCCAGCGTGCGTTAGTGCCTGGAGACCCAGGAAGTTACTGGTGGTACTCACTGCAAAGGCCAGCGTGTGGGCACGCAGCCACTGCTGCCCCACGCATGCTACGCAGAGTGAGAGCTGTCCTTACACGTCCGCAGAGGGATTAGAGGGCTCAGGCAACATGGCGGGGCCTCATGCTCACCTGTCTGCACACCTGTCACGCCTTGCCTTGGCAGCAGGCCAGGTTAGGCAAAGGAGGCAGCTGAGCAAGCCAATGCCATTCAAAAGCTCCAGGATTGCCTCATCCCACTGCACCCCAAACCCCCGTGTCCCCATGATGCTCTGACACATGGATTTCTGTGAGGGAAATGTGTGAATGAGGGCTCTGCTATTATCTTTGGAGGGGGTAGCCACTTGGTGAATTGCAAGGCAGATGAAAGCTAAGAAGAGAATCGGGCCCGGGGCAGTTGGGTGAGAAGGACGTGGAAACCCGGGGTCCCCCCCATTCAACATGAAGCTGCTGAACCCCTACCGTGCCCTCTGCATGCAGGTCGGCACCTGGAAAAGCAGTGTCCCCTGCAGACCTGGTTGGTGCCAAGCAGGAGCTTGGATGCCCAGCAGTGCTCCATTCCCGGCCAGGAAATGAACTCTTGCCTTTCGAATAAGTGATTCCCAGCCGTGCTAGCACATTACAGCTTGTGTGGGACCACACGCATCTCACTCCCACTGAGCCAGCTGGGAAATTTTACATTTTTTGCTCAAGAAAATTTAATCAACTATTCTCTTTGAAAAACTGTTTTCTGGGTTAATCTCTTGGTTTGTAGAGAACGGAGGCTCATGCTCACTGAAGTGTGAGTAACTCATTGCCTGAGTCTTAGAAACTCTTTTGGGAGTGTGGGGCACTATTTTTGTTGTGGTGAAATATACATGCAATTTTGTAACAACCATTTTTAAATACAATTACAATGTTGTGAAACTATCAACACAATATATTTCTAGAACTTATAACCATTCCAAACACAAATTCTGTACTCGTTCAACAACACACTCCCCATTCCTCTCTTCTCCTAGGCCCCTGAGAATCATGATTCCACTTTCTGTCTCTTTAAATTTGTCAAAGTACTTCATGTATGTGGAGTCACACCATATTTGTCCCCTTGCGTGTGGTTGATCTTGCTAAGCGTGACATTCTCAAGGGTCATCGATGTTGCAGACCTACCAGTACATCACTGCTTCCTGGGGATGAAGGGTAGTCCGTTGCGTGGCTCTATCATGTTTGGCAGGAGATAAACCCATCCACACTCATCTCAAGTTTTACCGTTAGACCATGTAAGTTCATCTAAATTGTTTACCTTCTAATGTATGAATTAACTGCTGTTAGTCAATATAATCCTTCAAATGAAAGACTAATCCTACTGAATAGTTATGATGGGAACCAGGCATGAGCTGTGACCGAAAGTGGGAGCCAGACGAGAAATCAGCCTTGGCTTAGATCTTGTCTTGGTGGGAGCAGAGCCCCAGCCTTCTTTGTTGAATGTGCATTGAATCGATTTCTATGATAAAATTCCCTGACTTTCAATGTATGTAAGTATCTATTGTGATAACCACTGTTCGTTTGTAGTCCATCAGCCAGTATGAGTGTGTGAAATTCCATTTTACTTCAGCTGATACAAACATACCCCTTTTAAAAGTCAAACTGTGAGGTGCCGTGGCTCACTTGGTTCATCCTCCACCTGTGGCACCGGCATCCAATATGGGCGCCAGGTTCTAGTCCCGGTTGCTCCTCTTCTAGTCCAGCTCTCTGCTGTGGCCCGGGAAGGCAGTGGAGGATGGCCCTGCACCCACATGGGAGACCAGGGGGAAGCATCTGCCACCCATGGGGGAGACATGCATTGAGTTCTGGGCTCCCAGCCTTGGCCTAGCCTTGTCTTGGCTGTTTCAGACATTTGGGGTATGGAACCAGAAGATGCCCCCCTCCTCTCTGATAAATTAATAAAAGTTAATATATATAAAAAGAAGTATATTACATATGATATATATTTAATATGTACAATATACATATTATATATATGGAGGCTGTTTATTTAGCTGTTCCATTAACATAGAAAAGGGGAAATGGAAGGACATGGAAGGACAGCAGGGAAAAAGACCCAGAAGGCCACTGCCAAGCTTAAGCATCACAAGGGCAGAGAGAACCTACGCCCCACAGGTGTGAGTGTGGTTCACTGTTCTCCAGCCTGCACTTGGGGAAAGTGAGCAACACACACCTAAGGATGCTGGTGGCTTTTAATAAAGGAGCGAAAAATTAGCTCTCACCCACTCCAATTAGACAACCCTGTTTTCTTCACTTTTAGTTTCACAACTCAGAATCTAATTATCACTCTGCAAACTTATAATGTTAATACATCTTACCTTCAATGGAGTTAAAGTCCAATTAGCGTGCTTTTCATACACATGGATCTTATGAGCCAGCAGTTCAGCTATATAGACATACCTTCAGAGAAGAGAGAGCTACATCAAAGTACTGGATATAATTGGAATTCAAAAGTCACAGTGGGGTTATAATAATTCTGCTAGGAAGAACTTTTGCTCAGGGATCGGGAATAGAGCCTATCTCAAAGCACACTAAATTCAGAAAAAACTCAATGAGTTTCCAATGCACAAGGGGGGTTACGGGCTGGAAAGTTATTTCTAAAGGGGGGAACCTGCTTGTTCCTAATCAGTGTCAGTGGCAATCAGACCTAACACCAGCTCTTTCTTGCTAGAAGCAAAATGTATAACAGTGCTTCTTTCAGTTTGTTAATATAGCAGCAAACCCCAGGTTCTGCATTTCGGGGGATATGGAGTCTCGAAGGGAGGGTGCAGGAAAGTGCTGTGACAAGAGTTCCTTATTTTGATGAGAAGCAACAAGATGCTTGGCCAGGATTGACAGAAATCTTCCTCGCCTTCATGGCCCGAGTCTGGTCTGGACCCTGTGGATTCAGTACGCTGTGCAGACTTCAATGCTACACATCACAAAGTCCATAGCTCATGGCCATGGCTCGTGGACTCAGCACTGTGCATTTCAGATCATGAAGAAAAATGACTGCTGGATTACCTTCTATGTTTAAAGACCAGGAAATGATATGAACCAGTGAGGATATCAATGTTGCTTTTTCTAGATGTTTATTAACAAGCCTCTGAAATTCTTGGTGATTCAAGATGAGAAAAGACAGCTGAATGGACATATAGATTTTGTGTATATACCAATGGTACCCAATGGGTGGGCCCCCATCCAATGCTAATATGTGAATTGTTTGTTGCAAAGCCAGTAAGAAATGATTGTACAAATCAACTAATCAGTAAGGACATTGCTTAGTTAAGTAAAGGACATACTTTCATCATGGTGAAACTTCCTTTTTTAAAAAAAGTTAGACATTTTATTTATTTGAAACAGAGAGAGAGACTACAGGCAGAAATGTCTCATCTACCAATTCTGCACCCCTCCCCCAACCCCAACCCCACTGCCAAATGCCTGCTATAGCCAAGGCAAGGGCAGTCCAGAGACAGAAGCTGAGAAACCAATCAGAGTCTCCTACATGGAAGGCAGGGACTTGGTAAAGGAACAGTGCCTTGATTTACTCTTTGGCACAAGTTACTTGTCACAAACCAGCACTATTGATATGTATGCCTACACACTACTAATCTCACTATATGAGGGTACTTCAGAAAGCTTATGGAAAAATGGAATTAAAAGATAAATTTCTTTTGGTGCAAATTTTGTCAAGTCCATGCGTAGTTTTTCTCATAGTATCCGTTTTCCATGAACTTTTTGAAGTCTCCTCCTACATTCAAAATTCTTCCTTCCAAACAATGCTGGTTAGGAATAGTGAATGTTTGTCTCAGTTTTCTCTCTTGAAATTTATTTTTTTTTCTGAAGAAAAAATACAGTGTGGCTTCACAAAATATAAGACTTTCATTTGATAAATCTTACTCATTAAAATATTAAGATATTTTACATTTCTCCTAATTCCATGAGATGTAGCATATTACTTAGAAAAAGATTATATTTTGAAGACATCTAATAAGACTCTGAGTAAATCCATTATGTTTCAAAGAGTGTACATACTTGCCGTCTGGTGAGATGTTGATTCCGTTAGCAAAATCAAATCCTTCTGCCACTACTCGAACATCATTGGGACTATAATAAGTAACAAATGACCACGCTAATCCCAAATGCATTTCCCAGGATTTTAAGTAAGGGTCAATAAAATAGTGATCATTGGTAGCATAAAAGTGTTCAGGTCCCACAGCGACAATGTCATTCACACTGCAATTAAAACAGAAACACACAAACATATTAGAGGTGAAGGGATTGTACACTGGGATTATGACTTGGCACGCATTAATGTCCATTCCCAAAATCAACTTATGGGATGGAGCCTTCACACTGTTGGGATAATACAGAATTCATGTGAAATCATTCTTATGCCAGCCTCAAAAATAATAAATGCTCTAAGAAATTCTAAAGGAGTGATCACAGCATTGTAACACAAAAACCCTATTAGCTCTATCTTAAAAATAGTGTTCTGGAATGTGTGTGTATGTGTGTGTGTGTGTGCAGATGTACTATAGTCTGTAGATGTGAAATTAGACCAGGAATCATTATCAGGGTAAAATGTAGCTGTGCTCATATAGCACTGACTCCCAAGAGTCCCTGACTTCATAAAGCAGTAGGAAAAAATAAATCACTGACCTGTCAGCCTGGAGACTTGCATTTTAGTTAAAACTGTGCTACTAGGAGCTGTGTGTTGTAGGGAAAACCAATCCTTGCACATGCCATGGTCTCAGTCTCCCTAACTCTAAGAAAAGAATGATGTAGACTGGCCCATCTTTCAGCCTCAGAGTTTCATGGTTCCAAACTGGATAAAACGTCTGTGAACAGGAATGCTCAGAAACTGGATGCCAGGGTTTTTGTTCTCTCTGATTAGGATTGTCTGGCTGCTACTGGACATGTAACACATCTGAGTCTATTCTTCTGCTTTAATAGGTGCAATTGCAAACACATAAGGAGTCCTCCTGTGCTGATTGAGGTGACGAGTGTTCCCCAGGGCCGTGATCTGGGAGAACAGGATGCCATCTACTGTGGAGGATGAATGGCCAGCCCACCAGCTCTGGGCTCCTGGGCAAGCTAAGCAACACACAGCCCCTCCGTCTTCTCATCTGTAAAGGCAGGTTAAATGATTTCCCAGAGTCATACAGCTCATTAAGAGAAGAATCTGTATTTGTGGAGTTACGGAGGGAATTACAATGAGACGATGTCTGTTGTGTGTTTTGCAGGGAGCCTGGCATTCAATAAATCCTCCACCAATGGTAGCCACTATCCCTACCTGGAAATAAAAAGGTTTAGGAATTTAGGATTGGTCTGAACAAGCTCCAGACATAACTCTGTAAGCTGTTTTACTCCTGCTTTGTTAAAAGTAATTTGCTGAAATTCATGTGGCTTATGATGATTTGCTTATTTCTCATCTACAGGAACATAGTGGAAAGGTTTAGAGCAACCGCTTTGAAAACCAGTGACACTGCCTGCTATCGGCAGGGGCTGTAGCATGCTGCTATAACTTACAAGCCTGGGTCAAAAAGAACATGAAATAATTCATGAAAAGGCCCTGTGTCATGCCTGGCATATATTAAACAACCAAAAATAGTAGCTGTGCTATTATTAAAAATAACATTCTTAACTTATAATAATAGATTTAGTACTTGGAATATTAATGCCAGAAACAACGATAAACACAAAGCTACACCTCAGTCTTTGGGTTCTGAAGGCAGAATTCCAGGTAACTGTGGCTCTCTGGTTATTTTCAGTTTGGCTAGGCACTGCCAAAGACCAATACTTTTACAAAAGGCTCAGAAAAAAAAAATCACACCCCAGGAAACTAGACAAACCTGAGATTTCCAAGATTAAATAGTGAAACAAAATAAATTTTCATTATTTCATAGCTCTGGTGGCTCAGGATTCAAGCTATCAAGATTAAAATCCCTTCTGCACCATTTAATGATAGTGTCACACAGAGTAACTTAAGAAATATTGCAGGCCTCAGTTATTTTTTCTAAATTCACAATAGGTGTAATAATAAAACCTAATTTAGAATGTATTTGTATACAGTCAATAAAATAGCTTGTTTAAATTGGTTAGTGTAGCATCTCACTTGTATCTAAAGCTTGTAAAGTTGTTTTACCATTGTTACCATGAGCACAGCTTCTCAGTTCCATGTATTATTCCCCACATTAGCTCTGGCCTTCTTCACATTATCCAATCATTCATGACTTCATTCTCTCCCCTAAAGTATATTTGTTGAATGAATGCATGAATATGTTCTTCCACCAAAAGACTTCCAGGCTTGTGGAAAAAACTACTCGGCCACTACTGGCCTTTATCCAGTAACTCAATTTCTCTCCCATCTCAGTTTCCTAGTCTTCAAAACCACCAGGTAAGAAAGGTGAGGAGGGGCCAGAGCTGTGGCACAGTGAGTTAAAGCCCTGGCTTGCAGTGCTAGCATCCCATATGGGGGCCGGTTCAAGTCCCAGCTGCTCCACTTCCGATCCAGCTCTTTGCTATGGCCTGGGAAAGCCGTAGAAGATGGCCCAAGTCCTTGGGCCCCTGCGTCCATATGGGAGATCTTGAAGAAGCTCCTGGCTCCTGGCCTGGGATCAGCTCAGCTCCAGCCACTGCAGTCATTTGGGGAGTGAGCCGGCAATGGAAGACCTCTCTCTCTGGCTCTACCTCTCTCTGTAACCCTAGCACTTTGCCAGGCACCTGCAGATGTGCAGTAGAGATTCACCAATAACGAGGCAGTCAAATGCTGCATATAAATGACACAAATAGAGGTTGGGATTCTAGAAAATCAGAATAATCAAGAGGTAAAAAATGTTTTGGAAGATAACGTCAGGTTTCAGTCCTAAATTCCTAACTGGTCTCGTAAAGCACATATTCACCAGACAAGTCAGGAAGTTGTGTGTTGGGGATACTTGTCTGTACTCTTGCCCCCGTATGTTATATTGTTAAGGAGCCTAAGATGAGTGAAGTGTTACTTTAGATGTGCTATTATGTAAATGCTGTACAGCCAAACAGCAGTACAGGCAGCACAGACAGGTCCCAGATGGGGGTCTTCTCTTAAATATTCATCTCCAACTCACATAAACATCTGACATGCTCTGCTTTATAATATAAACAGAAATAAATCAACTCAAGCTGTAGAATCTGTCTATGAAGGTTTGTTTGGGTTTGAAACAGGAGCAGAATTTTTTTCTTGGCGAAAGCTCGAACAGAGATCCTGAGGTCAGGAGCCAGCAGCCAGCAGCCATCCTGGGAAATGAGGAAGAGAATGGGACTTCTTCGGGAGGACTGGAGGCCTTAAAGGTTCTGCCCAAGAACATTTGGAGGAGTCTGTGGTCACAGAAAGGAGAGCCGAACCAAAAGGCCAACCCGTAAGTGGGTTAACCACCAACTACTGTTAAAGAAAAATAGAAGCCGCATTGCAGTACCTAGGCAGAAGCTTGTGTCTGATGGTTTTCAGATGCAAAAGTGATTTTTCTTTTTCTTGGAATTTAAACAACTCCACTGTGGACTTGGAATCTGGATGGTTCACCACCATCAGGTAGACGATATTATCTGAAAGGAGATTAAAAACAAAAGATCGAAATGTTCACTGTGCTTGCAGCTGTCAGCTCTGCTCCAAAAAGCAATTTCAACTCCCCTCCAACTAGTACTTAGGATGTCAGGCAGATGGAATATTTTCATCTCCTTGTAGAGAGAAGCATTTGTGATTACTCCAAAGAAAAGTGGCTGCAAGAAGAACCAGTGACAGTTGCTAGAAACTCAAAACTCCACAGGGAGAAAAAAAATCCCTGACTTAAGATGAGCCCCACTGACAATACCATTCCAAGGAGCGAGTTACGCTTTCTCGTTCAAATGGTCTTTGCGAGATGCAGAGTTGCAATAAAAGGGATAAAAAAGTGCAGAAACTGCTAATACAAGATGTGCTCAGGTATCATTGACACAGTGTGAGTTGACAAGTAACATGAAGAGTTTCTGGGAGACAGGAACAAGCAGAAGCAGCTTCTTTGAGTCAAGGTGTCTGGGACACAAAGGAGACCAGATTCGCCTTCAGGAAGGCGTGAACCAAGTTGGCTAAACTCAGAGCATGCTCTCTGCTTAAGAAGCAGTAAAACTTTAGAAACCTCTGACATGGTCAAGTTGGTGTTTGAAGGGGGAAAAAAAAAAGTGCAAGGTGTAGCAGCTTGAAGCGAAGCAATTTGAACAGAGAACCAGCTGAGATGCTTCATGAACCCAGTCAACAAACAGGTGTTCAATTTCTTTGAGTTGGTGTTCAAATGCTGCAAAGGAAAATAAAACTGCGTGAATGGATAGAGAGGCATGGGGTGTTTTCTTCGTGGGGTCAACAATGAAACAAGAGAGCAAATCCTGTGGATTTCTAGGGAAAGAGCATTCTAAGCGGAGGGAATGTAGTATACAAAGGGCCTGGGGCAGCAGCTCCACACACATTCACTTAACGGGAAAGCTGGAGCTGGAGCTGGAGCTGAAAGAAAGCAAGAGAGGGAGAGTGGGAGCGTAAGCCATAGAAGTAGGGAGCAGGCATCAGTCTTGCTAAGGCTTAGGGTACAGACCAAGGGTGTATCTACGAGTTAAGTGCCCAGAAGGAACCCCAACCTGAGGCTACAGCAGTCATGCAGGCAGGTGGAGAGAGAGGCCTGGGCCCAAGCATGGCTCTGACAGAGACAGGAAGGGACTTGGACAGAAAGTGAGGGCTAAGGCGTGAGGGAGGCAGAAACCAACCACCAGGGCTGATAACAACCTGGTTTCATATCTTGTACAGCAGATTCTCTCTCTCTCTCTCTCTTTTTTTTTTTTTTATATATATAGGCAGAGTGGACAGTGAGAGAGGGAGATAGAGAGAAAGGCTTCCTTTGCTGTTGGTTCACCCTCCAATGGCCGCCAAGGCCGGCGCGCTGCGGCCGGCGCACTGCGCTGATCCGAAGGCAGGAGCCAGGTGCTTCTCCTGGTCTCCCATGGGGTGCAGGGCCCAAGTACCTGGGCCATCCTCCACTGCACTCCCTGGCCACAGCAGAGAGCTGGCCTGGAAGAGGGGCAACCGGGACAGAATCCGGCACCCCGACCGGGACTAGAACCCGGTGTGCTGACGTCGCAAGGCGGAGGATTAGCCTGGTGAGCTGTGGCGCCGGCCAAGCAGATTCTCTTAATCTGCAGTCTATCCCAAGGAAATAGTCACAGAAGATGCGTGCATAAGGATGTTCATTTTGGCCTTGTTTGCAATGAGCTTAAAGATGGGGAGAACCTAATATCCACTAGCAGATGAACACACAACTGATTCGCGAGTACCCCACACGGCAGCTCTGAGCGCACTGCCATAAAAGATAACCCCTGATGCAGTACTCGTTGCAAAGGAGATGGACAGAGGTACTTTGTGTAATACTCTCCCCACTTTTATTTTTGAAAGTATATACCAAACACTATGCTTTTTACACTTAAAAATATTTTAAAAATAAAATGTAATGCTAACCTATGAGTGAATGAGTGGCAAGGCCACTGAAGAGAATGTACAAGGAGGCTTCACAAAGTTGGTGGGAAAATGGAATTAAAACATAAATTTAGGGGCTGGCACTGTGGCTAAGCCTTCACCTGTGGCATCCCATATGGGCACCAGTTCGTATCCCAGCTGCTCCTCTTCTGATCTAACTCTCTGCTTTTGGCTTGGGACAGCAGTAGAAGATGGCTCAAGTCTTTGGGCCCCTGCACCCATGTAGGAGACCTGGAAGAAACTCCTGGCTCCTGGCTTCGGATCAACCCAGTCCCGGCCATTGCAACCATTTGGGGAGTGAACCATTGGATGGAAGACCTTTCTGTCTGTTTTTCCCTCTATGTCTGTAACTCTACCTCTCAAATAAATAAGTAAAATCTTAAATGTGTGTGTGTGTGTGTTTATTTTGGTGCAAAAGATTCAAAGACCATGTGTAGTTTTTTTAATAATAGACCTTTTCTGGCTGGCACCACAGCTCACTAGCCTAATCCTCCGCCTGCGGCGCCGGCACCCCGGGTTCTAGTCCTGGTTGGGGCGCCGGTTCTGTCTTGGTTGCTCCTCTTCCAGTCCAGCTCTCTGCTGTGGCCTGGGAAGGCAGTGGAGGATGGCCCAAGTGCTTGAGCCCTGCGCCCGCATGGAAGACCAGGAGGAAGCACCTGGCTCCTGGCTTTGGATCGGCACAGTGCACTGGCAGTGGTGGCCATTTGGGGGGTGAACCAGCGGAAGGAAGACCTTTCTCTCTGTCTCTCTCTCTCACTGTCTAACTCTGTCAAAAAAATAATATATATATATATATACCTTTTCCATGAACTTTTTGAAAACTCATCGTGTGTGTGTGTGTGTCTGTGTGTGTGTGTGTAAGGAAGCTGTATAGCAAAGAGGTGGAGAAGAGAATAGAAAATGACGGAAAATGATTTCTGACATTTGGAGTTTAAGGTGCTACAGGAGAGGAACTCAAACAGAAGGCTTGCAGTAAAGGAGTTAAAGAGTTGAAGAAAATAATACCTGTATTTAGAGATACTCTAGGAAGCAGGCACAGTGACACTTGTTTAAAATTTCTGAAATAGAGAAATAAAGAGGAGCTACAAGATGGAACCTCTGGGCCATGTCAGAGAACCGGCAATGATGACAAAGCGAGGAGCAGGGGAGTAAAGCTGAGGTCGGATCAGAACCAGGGTACGTCGGGGCACTGGAATATTGGGTGGGAGAAGTTTTCTCAAAGAAAGTGGTCGATAGTATAAAGTGATGTGGCGGGAGGGAGGGAGGGAGGAGAGGAAAGAAAGAGACAGAGGAGTTTCGCAGTAAGGAACCACTGATGACTTCCAGGGTAGCAAGTTTAGCCACCCACAATGGGAAAGTCGGGAAGGAGGGCTGAATGAGGGCTCCTCTGATGAGGAAGGGGAAGCAAGGAGTATACACACTGTTCGCAACCCTGGCCTTACACTTTTATCACCTGGACGACCTTTGACAGGTGCTACTGTCCAGGCCTCCCTAGGATCCACTGAGTCACAGAATCTTTGAGTCGGAGGCCTGGTCTTTCACAAACACTCCAGATGCTTCTGTGTGCACCGGGGTTGAGATCCTAGGCAATGACAGTGAATAGGGAGGAGGAGATGGGATGAGGCCCTAAGGGATGAGGGCAACAAGTCAGGCATGGAAATGTGGAGGAGCACTGTGAACCCCGAGCAGAGGAACCACGCGCGGGAAGCCACCGAAGGTGACAGGGCCGAAGGAGAGCAGCCCTGTGCCTCGCTGCCGCCAGACCCAGAGCTGCAGATGCCCAAGGTTAGAAAAGCCTGCTCCCAAGAATGTCCACATCTTTAACATCGTCTAAAATGCAAATCCCGTAACGGTTGGGAGTACGCATTGTTATCACAGTGGTTTCAGGGATAATGTGAAGGCTGGCATTTTACAAAACTGAGTGTCAATATTTTAGCATCTTCCAGCATTTAAGTAGTTTTAATATTGTATTTAATTAGAATGAGGGTAGATTTAATACCTAGAATAAGAACGTTCGTGATAATTATGTTTTCATTAGCTGAGACAAAATATTCATTCATTGGAATGTTGTATTTATTTTAAATTTGATTTATGTATTCATTCATTTGAGACAGAGAGAAAGAAACAAAGAAAGAAAAAGAATTCAAGATCCTGTCTGTTGGTTCATTCTTCAAATTCCAGGATCTGGAGGCTCAATCTGGGTCTCCTACACTTGACCCCTCACCAGCTACCTTCCAGGGTGCACGCTAGCAGGAAGCTAGAGCCAGGACTCAAACCTAGCCATTCTGATAGGGGGTGCAGGTGTTTCGACCACTAGACCAAACACCCGCCACTGTATTTTCAAATTTTAAAAAAATAAACAGCAAATGGAGATGCTATTAGGCCTAGTGGCTAAGAAGCGTGTTAGAATGCCCACATCCCACATTAGAAGAACTGGCTTCAACGCCTGGTGCTGGCACTTGATTCTGGCATCCTGCTGATGTAGCTCCTGGGAGGCAGTGGTGAGAGCTCAAGGAGCTGGGGTCCTGCCATGCACCAGAGAGACCTGGATTGAGTTTCTCCTTCTGGCTCCAGCTCAGCCCATTTCCAACTGTTATGGGCATTTGGGGAGTTAATCTGCAAATGAGAGCTCTCTCGGTCTCTCTGCCTCTTACATGAATAATATCAACACAAAGGTGGAAAAAACCAGTAAATATTGTTACCTTCATCTGTGAATGTGCTAATCCCATGAGGGTTAAATGAAGATAAATCAAATGTACTTCCAGTAATGCCCAGTTCCAATACTACTGGGTCTTTCTCATTCAGGTCCATTAGAAGTATCTTTCCAGGCTTATCAGGGTCAAAGCTCATTATTCCAGGATATTTTAATCCCTAAGAAAACATGAAGGAGAGAAAGCAGCCCCGTTATAAAGACTGCCAATGCTGATGGAGCAGTGGACGGGACACAAGTTCACACCATCTGCCCCAGGTCACAAGGCGCCAGGGCCACTTGTGTATCCTCTTACCTGGCATGTGCTGTAGACCCACAGAGACCCTAAAAACTACATGCTCTCCACAGCCACCCCCACAAACCCTCCCATCACCCAAAGCAAAGTCACAGGTGTACCACACCACAGTTTCCAGCCCACAAGAACGTGGTAGGACTGCCCAGTTTAACTGAAGGTGGGCACTGATGTACAGAAGCCCTCAATTGGAAAATACTCTAGGACACAACAGTGCAGCACTCACGGAGCTGATGAAAGCCAGTCCATTGGGCAGTATTTCCAAGTCTTCAGAACCATTGTCTGGAATAAAAACGTACAACCATTGAATATTACTGCAGGGAGCTGAGAGCCCATGTCTCCATCACTCATTTGAAAACAGGGCTACATATTAGTTCTTCTTTGACAGGTTAGAATAATTCATTCTTTCATTTATTATTCAAATTGGTGAAGTGATTACATAGAAATGTAAACGATTCTGATAAACAGCTTTCTTGCAAATTGATGGACTAGAACCTTTTCTTCAGAATCTGAAATCACTTACATAAACTCAGATATCTACAAAATGTACAAAAGGTAGGATTATTTGGAAGTAGATTGCTGTCTTTCTAAAGATACAGAGTTAACTAAACTACAAACATATATTGATATTACATAGTTCCAAATCAATTAAACTCGAAAACCATATCAGAAGTAGAAATGTATTTTAAATGCTGAAGTTAACAGGAGGATACGTTTCAGATGATCAAGGACTTACATTTACTGGTGCTAATTATAAATCTCAGTAAAATATCATTGTCTTCAAGTTATACTATATCTTCCAGTTTATATATATCTTCAAGTTTATACTATAAAGTACATGAAGATTTTGACTTTCAATTAATCTAGAGATAAATGAAATATGTGATTTTGTGTTTATACTCAGTGGAAATGTCTTTTTTTAAAGTATACAGTGCTATTTGACATCAATATATTATTTATTCTAGAAAAAGTAATACAAAGTAGCCAAGTTCACTGATAGTAACTAAATAGGTCTTCTAGTCTACCATTCTGAGCCTTAGTCAGGGAGATAAAAAAATTTAAGAAAACAAAAATAAGACCACCAAATGCAACAAAAGCATGGATTTCAAACACATTGTCCTCAAATAACAAAGCCCCTTGGTTAAACCAGACAGGGACTTGAGCCTGGAACACTCCATGGGCTGTCTACCAGTTGCTAGTCCCCTGCTTTTTCATCTTTGCTGAGAGTAGATCCAAGAGTTACTTTCCCAGCTTCCTTTGCTGCTACGGCACCAACCTGCCCTTCAGCTCTGCCTAATGAGATCTAAGGAGAAATTTGTAGGGAGTTTCTGGAGAAATTTCTTCCTCTCCAATTTTAATAAGAGATGCATGCAGAGAAACTGTGTGGTAATTGCAAAGCCCTGTGAAAGTTCTTTCTTTTCTCTTTTTAAAGTATTTTTCACTCACTGCTTCATGTTTGTTCCTCTTTCTTCCCTTTCCTGCCTAACCTCAGGTTAGAGTCCCATGAAACCAAGCATGCTTCTGACCATGACTTTTGGTCTACTGATCAAACAAAAACCATCAAAATTGCCAATACCTAGGCAAAAACATTGCTGAAATCAAAAGTCAAACAACATGGAATTTATAATTAACTACTGGCTTAATCATCTACACCTGGTTCAAAGTTCTATTTTTGAACAGAATTAAATGCATACATGAATTCAATAGAGAACTAATACTGATAGTTCAAGAGAGACACTTTCTCCACTCACATACGTACCAATCCCTTTAACTAAATTACAGTTAGGAAGTTCCACTGGAGTTACTTCACGGTGAACATTAAATCGTGTTCTAGAAGAAAGGAAGAAATAAAACACACATAAAACTCTTCAGAAATTAGAATTCAATCACAAGGGTGAGTAGCCCACAAAGTTCTCCTTTACTGTTTTGCCTTGGTTTCAACCCAAGTTAGTGGCTCCTGACATGTGCAATTCTCTCAAGGCCAGAGCAAGACAAGTAGTGTCCTCTGGGCACAACAGTCGGTGTTTGTGTAGCAGAGGCGGTCAGAACACACAAGAGACCCCTACTGTCCTGTCCAGGGCTCTGTGCACCTTGACAGAAAGTGTTCTATCAGTGATGTGAGAAGTTCTGTGTGGAAAGTTGGATTGAAAGGCGTCCTGCTTCAAGTTGATTCCATGGTTGGGTAAGGGCTGCTGACAAATGGGCCTTCATTCGTCTGCCCAGTCGGCCTCCCCAGCCTGAACTGGGCATTTGCTTTCAGATGTAGTGCCTGAAAAATGCAGGTGTGTTTAAAGGATTGATAGCTTCAGAAAATCATACCCTGTGGTAGCTAATTTGTAAAGTATATTACAAAATCCTTAATGTATATGAGTGAAATTCACATCTTGGGATTTGATTACTGTTTTTAGCCCTTGTCTATATTCCTGTAGAACAGTGGTCTTTCTACTTTTTGCTTCTTGAACTCTTTATTTAGTGGAGGATTAAGCATGTGTCATAAAGTAAATTAGAAATATTTTAGTGCAAAAATTGAAGGAAAAAAGGAAGGAACGAGCTGAGAGAAGGGAGGGAGGGAAGTATCATTATTTTCTTAGAATTGTATCTATTAACTACATGAAGTCTGTTCTGTTTATATAAATAAAAGAGAGTGTATTTAGTGGGTACACCCTTTAGCTAATATTAAAGTTTTCATACTAATTTGTTTTCTCTTAGAGACATTCTGGTTTTATAATAAACATTTTTTTAAAAAATATAAGACCATATAACTATGTAAATACAAGAGAAAAACAGGTTTTTTTTTAAAAAAAGAGAATCATCTTTTCATTTCTATTTCATTTACTTAATGCTCTAAATTGAGTTAGTGAATATTTGAGTAGGAACTCAAAGGACAGACAAAATGTGCAGGATGAAGGTTGAAACCAAGGAGATTACAAGAGGAGCACAGAAGAGAGTCAGGATGTAAAACTGCTGAGTGAGAAAACACTTGTGAAAAATGCCAGCGATCACAACACTCCCTTTTCTTAGATTCAAAACCACATAGCAAGAATAAGCGTGCTGAGGCTGGTGTTGTGGCACAGCGGATAACGCCTCTGCCTGCAACACCAACATCCCATGTGGGCGCCAGTTTGAATCCTTAGATGCTCTGCTTCCAATCTACTCCTAGCTAAGGCGCCTGGGAAAGCAGCAGAAGATGGCCCCAGTGCTTGAGCCCCTGCACCCACGTGGGAGACCTGGATGAAGCTCCTGGCTCCTGGCTTCAGCCTGTCCCAGTCCCAGCTGCTGCAGCCATTTGGGGAATGAACCAGCAGATGAACATTTCTCTCCGTCTCTCCCTCTCTCTGTGTAACTCTGACTTGCAAATAAATAAATCAATTTTAAAAAAAGAAAGAAAAGAGGGGCCAACACTGTGGTATAGTGGGCAGTGTAGTGTAGTGCTGCCTGCAGTGCCAGCATCCCATATGGCTGCCAGTTCGGGCCTGGGCTGCTCCACTTCCGACCCAGCTCTCTGCTGTGGCCTAGAAAAGCAGTAAAGATGGCCCAAGTCCTTGAGCCCCTGCACCCATGTGGGAGACCCAGAAGAAGCTCCTGACTCCTGACTTCGGATTGACACAGCTCTAGCCATTGTGGCCAATTTGGGGAGTGAAACAGCTGATGGAAGACCTCTCTCTCTCTCTCTCTCTCTCTCTCCGGCCATTGTGGCCAATTTGGGGAGTGAAACAGCTGAAGGAAGACCTCTCTCTCTCTCTCTCTCTCTCTGCCTCTCCTTCTCTCTCTGTGTAACTCCATCAAATAAATAAATAAATAAATATATATATATATAAAAACCAGAATAAACGTGCTCCCTGACTCTCAGGGTTCATTAAACAGGATGAGTTAATGCAGGACAGTAGACCTTTTTTTGCTCCTATTCTAATTCATACTTCTCTCTCCTGGAAGGTGACCTCTCATCTGGACAAGATAGAATAATCACAATACAGGGAGCCCAGTGAGGACAGTGAGGCACTGAATCTACACCCTCTTGTTTGGGTTCCAGTTTGGAGCCCAAACAAGTCATATGTCAACAGAGTAATCATTGTGATTATCAAGTACTGTACACAACTCTTCCTATCTTCAAACACCTTCCCTTTCTTACAAATGACAAAGATGAAATGACTGAGCTGGGATTGGGACTCAAGTATGAATACAAAGCTCACATACAGTCTCCTAACCAGGAAATTCATAGTGCTGAAAAGTTGCAGGAAACACCTCAAGACTCACCTGCATTATTCTCAAATTACCATAAAATATCTCGCCAAGGCCTTAAGCCCAAATGCTCCAGGTCTACGAGATAAGGTTTAATGCCTTGGAGATGTTCCTGACTCACAAGCTTCTGAACTCTGTCCAAGAACACCACCTTTGCTGGGAACTATTCTGTGAGAAAGTCTTTTCAAAGGAAACTGAGAATCTTCAGTTGTGCAGTAAGAAAAGCATTCCGGGGGACATTTGGCATAGACACTGAGTTGCCAGTTGAGACTCCTGCATCCCATAATGCAGCTTCAGGGTTGAGCTCCAGTTTGTCTACTTCCAATCCAGTTTCCTGCTAATGGGCACCCTGGGAGATAGCAGATGGTGGCTCAAGCATTTGTGTCCCTGCCATCCACATGGGAGACCTGGATTGAGTTCCAGGCTCCTGGCCCAACCCTGGCTACTGAGAGCATTTGAGGAGTGAACCAGTGAAAGTAAGATTATGTCTGCCTCTGTATCTCTCTCTTTATGTATCTTTGATCTTCAACTAAAAAAAAAAAATTTTTTTTTTTGACAGGCAGAGTGGACAGTGAGAGAGAGAGACAGAGAGAAAGGTCTTCCTTTGCCGTTGGTTCACTTTCCAACGGCCACCACGGCCAGCACATTGTGCTGATCCGAAGCCAGGAGCCAGGTGCTTTTCCTGGTCTCCCATGGGGTGCAGGGCCCAAGTACTCGAGCCATCCTCCACTGCACTCCCTGGCCACAGCAGAGAGCTGGCCTGGAAGAGGGGCAACCAGAACAGAATCCGGTGCCCCGACCAGGACTAGAACCTGGTGTGCTGGCGCCGCAAGGTGGAGGATTAGCCTATTGAGCCACAGCACCGGCCCTAAAATAAAAATTTAAAAAGGAAATCAATTCTGGAACTTTGCTTGGGACTATCATCCCCATCATTGGTTGACACTGCACATTTCTTCAGTCAATATTCCTTTATGAAGCCTAGCAAGTCCTGTTCTAGGGGTTTTCTCACATGCTTCCTCATTTAAAATCCTCTTTAGCCACCCTTGAGAAAAAGATTAATATTTTCCTGGTTTTATATGTAAGAAAACTAAGACAGAGGGCTAGCTAATGTGCATTGGTTGCTTACTTAAGAGGGTAAAGTTTGGGCTTGAAATTCGAGATGTCATGATCCTGCAACCCACTCAATACTTCTTTTCGTTTTCTCACACTTCTCCTTCCACCTCAAATTTCCTTTCCCTCCGTTCACGACGTCTGCAGCTGCTCCTGATCTTCCATGGCAGGAGCAGAAGCTCCTTCACTCATCTTCATGATACATGCATCCATCAAGTCTCCTACCACGTTGTTTGACAATTAGTCTTTGGTCTTGTTGCTCTCAGGACACTCTGAATTAGGTGTGTGGACACAATATCCTACCCACCTCTATCCCTGCCGGCAGGAACGAAACATAGCAGAGAGCCAGTGCTTGGTAGGAGTGCCCTGAATTATTTTATGGCGATACAAGGCTAGTGCATCAGACTGAGAAGATCGTTGGTAAGGGAGAAGGGATGGTTGGAGGGTTATTTGTCCTTAGCTCAGGGTTTCAAGAATGTAGAATCATAGTATGTTTTCAAGTATCATTCATTAGATTTCACAAGTGGATTTTTGGGGTCACTTATTACAATTATAAAAGCCAACATTAACAGTTATATTAGGGTACCTGTTTTATGCCAGATTTTATACTTTATTATGATTTGTATTATCATGCCACAATTTTCAGGCAGTGAAGCAGGCTGGGACTTTTTTTGACATGAAGTGGTAAAGTGACCAGAAATTTGCAAAATGAGATCCAACCCAGGTGATCAGGAACCCACACTGCCCTCCTCCCACCATGGTCTGGGGCCTGCAGTGGGCATGGGGTGCTGAGACATACCACGAGGCCTACTGCTCGCTGTGCCAGCCTTGAGATTTCCTTCTGAGCAAGGGACACACAGGGGCCTCACACATTACCAGGGGTAAGTGTCCAACCAGAGGTTGGCACAGATAAACAATGTGCAGCATTCCATACTCCCAGAAGATCCTGTTTTTATCTTGGTCCAAGGCCATCCAGGGAGTTGCCCAGTATGCTCCCTGAAAGACTACATGCAGCTGACAGCAAAGATGGGTCGGAGGGGCTGGCGATTGGAGCAGCTGTTAGGATACTCCATTCTGGAGCGCCTGGTTTGGGTCCTGGATCTGCTTCCGATGCCAGCTTCCTGCTAATGTGCACCCTGAGAAGCAGCAGGTGATGACTCAAGTAGTTGGATTCCTGAAACCCACATAGAAGACCTAGACTGAGTTCCTGGTTCCTAGCTTTCACCTGGCCCAGCTCCAGCAGTTATGGTATTTGGGGAAAAACAGAGATGGAAGATCTCTCTCTCTCTCTCTCTCTCTCTCTCTGGTTTTCAAATAAATAAAATAAAGTTGCAAATACAGACACACACATCCACATCCACATCTTCAAAGGCGCTTGGCCAGGGGAGTTTCGCCAATTTCTTTCTCTGTGCTGCTCTCCCCTTGAAGGCACAGGGGATCCCCAGAAGGCCCCAGGCTGCACCCCCACCTGGCGTGCTCCCTCAGGTTCCCTCCTGCCTGAGCCTAACTCCTTGTGAACTCCTCATCCCCACTCTTCCCACATGGCATCTGAAGAGAACAGAGCGCGCTCTGGTGATCCGCTTGTTCCTAAAGCCCCAGCAGATCTCTGCCCTTATTTGCCCTGGGCAGATTCAAGATCCAGGGCACTAAAATGGGGACAAAGGTCATTTATGGATCTTCCGGGATCTCTTGATCTGGTCCCAACATAGGCAATGACAGTATTTGGATATCCTTTAGAGAGGTGTGCATAGAAATCCTCTGGGGAGTTTTTTAAGTAATTCTGGTTCAAGAGTGTGTGGTGAGGCCTCCTTTCTTGCTTGTCCGGTGAGCTCCTAGGTGATGCTGGTGGATAAACCCCTCTGAATACGGCCTCCAAGATGATAAGAGCAATTTCCATCTCATCTCCATCGAACTACTGCAGGAGGCTCCACGATTGTGTATCTATCTATCTATCTATCTATCTAACTATCCATCTATCTATTATTTCATTGTTTATCATCTATCTAATTTCCTTTGGCAGCAAATAGTACCATGATTAATAAAAATTCACAAACTTGTATTTTTATATGATATCATACTTTTTTTCTAAGGACCCAAAAATTATTGATTTATTTGAAAGGCAGAGTTGCAGAGAGGCAGAGGCAGAGAAAAAGAGGGGTGGCGGGGGGTGGGGGCTTCCATCTGCTGCTTCACACCCCAAATGGCTGCAATATGTTTACTGTGGTTCTGGGGCCTGTGCTGTGGCATAGCAGGTAAAACCGCTGCCTGCAGTGCCGGCATCACATATGGACACCAGTTTGAGTTCTGACTGCACCCTTCTGATCCAGTCCCTGCTGTGGCCTGGGAAAGCAGTGGAAGATGGCCCAAGTGCTTGGGCCCCTGCACCCACGTAGGAGGTCCAGAAGAAGCTCCTGGCTCCTGGCTTTGGTCTGGCCCAGCTTTGGCCATTTGCGACCATTTAGGGAGTGAACCAGTAGATGGAAGACTCTCTTTATCTCTTTCTCTCTTTCTCTCTCTCTGCCTCTGCCTCTCTGTAACTCTGCCTTTCAAATAAATAAATAAATAAATATTTTTTAAAAATCCTATTCTGAATGTGAGCTCATAATTAGTCTATACACACATACTTTTAATTCAAAATGTTCAGTTTAATTTTTATTGATGTTTTACTTCAGAGTAAATAACAAGGTAATATTGAATAAGACTTTGAGACTATGGCAATATTTTATCATATGATAAGACTTTAAACCCTATGAAAAAGTTACCATGAAAATTCTGATGGATGGTCTCCAGATTTTAAGTACTATAAAAAGTTACTATGAAAACTCCGATATAACCTTCAAACACTCCCCCTGCCTTGAGTAGCCCCTATCAATTTATTAAATACTTCACAAGGAAGCATGGAACTCTCATTTATTGAACAGCTACTATGTCCCTGGCATGGTTATTACCATTTCTAGCAGCTAAGGTCTAGAGAGGCAAAGCGATTTGCCCAAGACCCTATATTCAAGGAGAAGAGCCAGAACCAGAACACCGAACAGCTGCACCAGGCGCTTCCTCCCCACCAGACCCCCACTGGAGCTGCCTCGTGGGTATGGGCTCCCACCTGCTCCAGTTCACACTCAGGGTTCCTCTCTCTCTTGAAAAGCTCCAAGCCTGAAGGTTGGCACCAAGCTCCCTTTCCCAGACTCGCACGCTACCAGGGTCCTCCCAGGTTGGGTTTTGGGGGATTTTAAGGCAGGTGGACGAGTGCAATCCGCAGCCAAGCACACGGATCTTCATGAAACGCAGGCCCTCACACCACTGGCAGTGGCCCCCCAGCCCATCCTGCAGCCTGCCGGCAAGGGTCTGAGCACAAGAGGCACATACAACTTGGACACACATGTATGGACCCTCTAGGGGGTGAGCATCAAGCTGCCCGAAGATTTTGTTAAGAACTTGGTTTCTCCTTGTGGGGTGGGGGTGGGGGGTCTTGGAGCTAGCTGATAGTGGGGTGCAGCGGGGAGCTGCAGCCCTCATGCCAACCCAACTTACTGGAAAGAAGACTTCTGTCCATCGAAGAGTGCCAATCCCAGCCCCAAGAGCGTGAGCGCTGTCAGTTTAGCCATGGTCAGGGCAGACTAAAGGCTGGACCGGCGCGAGCACCACGGGCTGGGAGCCTCCTCCCGCCTGCAGCCAAAGTCCCGCACCTGCAGCCCGGGCTTAGCCCGCCCCGCCCCGCCCCGCCCCGCCCCGCCCCGCGGCCCTGGGCTGCAACGCTTAGCAGCGCGCCTGGAGCCCGGCTTCACCTGTGGCTGCCGCAGGAGACCGAGAACAGCTCCTAGGAGGGTCAAGCAGGGAACAGGAAGCAACCTGGAGGAAACCGAGAGCCGTGGGAAAGGAGCCCAAAGACTTGGTGAGGGCTCGCTGTGCGCCGGCCAAATCCCAACCCGTGTCGCTCAGAGAGGTTCGGAAACCTAATCGTGGTGACTCAACCAGCAAAGGACGCGAGGGCCCCCTGTGGCTGGAACCCCTAAAGCCTAAGTGTGTTCTCCGCAGGCTCCCCGCGGAGCTGAACCTGCTGCCGGCCTGGTCCGAGCGCCACTTCCCCCTCCCTGCTGGCACCGGTACAGTTCATTCACGCCTGTACTGGGCGTTTGGTGAGCCCCTGCTGGGCACCAGGCACTGCAGGAGATGCGGAAAGTCTCTGAACCTCACATCCCAGTTAAAAAAGGAATAGGGTGTGTCGTGGACATGCGCCTCTGTTATGGGGAAAAACAGAGCAGCCAGGGGCTTAGGGAGCCGGGGAGCTGCCCTGTAACACTGGGGAGCCGCCAAGGCCTCACTGGCGAGGGGCCGCTCCTGCAAGGACTGGAACGAAGTGCCTTTGTCCCCATCTCTCTGAAGGGGCCCTGGTTTCCCCAGGGACAGCCCCTGCTTTGCTCCGGGAGCCTCGCCTTCTCAAGGCTCCTGATCCGGTTCCACACCCGCTGTGTGTAGTAGCCATCTCTCCCTCTTTTCTGGAACATGGCCCTCCCAGAGCAACATGCTTCAGTTATCACTTTGAGTTTTCTGGGGTAAATACTCTTTCACATTCTAACCAGCATCCTCTTTCTTGACTCCTCCTGGAAGACTTGCTCTTAATCCTTGAGCTTGTGTGGAAGGCATCCAACCATCACTGCAGATCCGTGGGAAAAGCATCACGCAGAGTGACCTGCTAAGGCCAGGCTTCGAGCCAGCTCCAGCAAGGAAACACCCATGTTGAGGAAAGCCATGTTGGACTTTGAGATAAGCCCAGATACCAAGTGAATAGGACACAGACACCTGGTTGACCTTGGTGGAGCAGAAGATTCTACCAGTGGACGTTGGATCACAAAATCCAAGAGAGGGGAGTGTGATCTGTGGCCTGTGTGGTTATGATTGAACAGAATTAAGGCAAAGGAGTATCCACTGGGTTCGATAACATGGATGCAATGGATAATTAATTTTTCAGTTTCTTATTAATAAAAAAGAATAGATTTCATGTAATATGTGGGTAAAATTCTAAGAACCTAATGATACTTCTCTCCCTCCCTCCTCCTTCCTTTTTTGTTTTTCCCTTTAATTTTTGCAATAGCATGCTTTTGATTTATTTTATAATCACAGACCTAACACTTCACTGAATAGTGTTAAATAACAGCAAAGTCTTCAACTGAGTCAAAGGAGCATGACCATATTAGAATAAGTGGAAGGAGAGAATGGGAAGTTGGAGATAACTAGAGTTAGTTGTAAACTGACATTGGGGTAGGACTCAGCAGGCTGCCTCATTGACGTTCCCCTTGGAATATCTAATAGTCTCTTTAAACTATGTCCAAAGCAAACTCTTTTTAAAAAAGATTTATTTATTTGAAAGACAGAGTTACAGAGAGAGAGGGAGGGAGGGAAAAAGGGAAGGAGAGAGAGAGAAATATCTTCCATCCACTGGCTCACTCCCCAAATGGTCACAAATGGCTAGAGCTGGGCCAGACCAAAGCCAGGAGCCAGGAGCTTCTTCCAGGTCTCGAACCACCACCCATAGGGGATGCCGGCGTCACAGGTGGCATCTTTACCTGCTACATTACAGTGCCAGCCCCCAAAGCAGAACTCTTGATCCCCTCCCTCCAACTTGTCACGTCCTCTGTGTTTTTACCCAATAAATCCCATCACTACCATCGACTTGCTCAAGCCCCAAGCCTAGACATCTTTAATCCATCCTTTTTTTTTTCTCACATCCCCTTACACAAATATATTAGTTCCTAGACTCTGCTGTTTGTATTACTAATCTGCTACCTAACAAGTTAGGCCCAAACCTAGCCATTAAGAATGGATGTTTATTATTTCTTAGATTCCATCTGTCAGGAACCCAGTCATGGCGTAGCTGGATATGTCTCAGTGGTGTTATGGGTTGGATGTGGTTTGTCTCTTAAGGGGTTCATGTGTTGGAACCTTGATCCCTAGTTTGGTGATATTAACAAATGGGTTCTAGTAGGAAGCCCTCGCATTACTAGTGCATTTTCTGGAAGGGAATAAGGTTGTTCACATGGGATCCTGAGTTAGTTCTCGAGAGAGCAAGCTGCTCTAAGAGAAAATCTGACATATTAATGGCTCTCGGGCTTGCTGTCTTGTGATTTGATCTCTCCCTCTCTCATGTGCTTCTACTATCTAGTATGAAGTTCTCACCAGAGCTGAGCTGATGCTGATGCCATGCCCTTGAACCTCCAGAACTGTAAGCTACACATGCCTCTTTTCTTTGTAATGTTGCATAGCTCCAGATATTTCATTACAGGAACAAAAGACTAACACAAGTTGGTAGCTGAGTTATCAGCCAGAGTTGCAATCTCATCTGAGGGCTCCACTAAGGTGCACAGAAAGTGAGATCAGCCTCCAAGATGATCACATGTTCTGGGCAGGCTCCTTGCCACATGGGCCTCTCCAGGAGCTGCAGCAGAACATGGCTGCCTCCCCCCAGATGAGCAATCTCACAGAGCGAGACAGCATGTCCCCCAAATGAAAGCCAGAATCCTAGAACAACCAAACTCCAGAGTTTGCAAGCCTCTGTTTTTCTAGCGTGGACCAGAGCTGTGGGAGTGGCTCTGAAGCTACACTTCTTGTGATTCCTGCAACTCTAGATCTTTTAAAAATATTATTTCAGATTTTCAGGAGTTTTTGTTTTTTTAGAAGCAGGGAGACAGACAGAGAGCTCACATGTGTTGGTTCACTCCCCAGATGCCTGTAAGGGTTAGTACTGAGCTGGGGCCAAAGCGAGGAGCCTGGCACTCAAACCAGGCCTTCCATGTAGGTTGCAGGAACCCAGTTACGTGAACCATCATTGTTGCTTTCCAGGGTTTGCTTTAGCAGGAAGCTTGAGTCAGGAGCCAAGGGACTGAATCCAAGAATTTCAATGTGGGAAGTAGGTTTCTTCATCAGTGTCATAATTGCTGGACCAACGACCTGCCCCTGGGCTGTGGGTATTAGCTGTCATGGCTACAAATACCTACACACCCACCAATGACACATGCAGTTTCCCATATCACCACCTCCCCATCAACACTTGGCAATATCTGATTTTCAGATTTTTCTTGTCTAATATGTTTAAAGTCATTTAAAAGTTGTGTTTTAACTGGCACTTCTCTGATTGCCAAGAATTCTGAGCATCTTTCATATGCTTCATTTTTTCTCATCTCCTGTAAATTTCTTCTTCACACCATTTGCCTATTATTTCTGGGATTCACATCCCCACTTTGCTATCTTCAAGAGTTCCTAATTTATTCTACTTATTAATACTGTGTGCATTTAACATCGCAAATACTTCTCATTCTGACATTTCATCCATCATTTTTGCCAATGCTATTTTTCACTGAATGGAAAGCTTTAATTTTGATAACTCAAAATTGAATCAATTTTTAATCTAAGGGTTTATGCTTTTAATCTTTTATTTCAGAAGTCCTTCTCTATCCTTAGGTCATAAAGATAGACTTTACTGATAGACAGAGGTAGATTTTCCATCTACTAGAACACTTCCTGAATGCCTGCAACATTTAGGGCTGAATCAGTCCAAAATCTGGAGCTGAAAACTCAATCCAGATCGCTCACATAGGTGACAGGTACCCAGGTACTCGAGATACCACCTGCTGCCTCCCAGGGTGCACATTAATTAGAAGGAAGTAGGAATGAGCAGCAGAACTGGAACTCCAGCCCAGGCACTCCAATATAGGGTGCGGGTGTTTCAAGCAATGTCGTAGCAATGTCTTGTTTTTATTATCTCAAATTTAAAGGAAAATGAAGTTCAGAGAAGGCCAGAGTTGTGATTAGTGAGTGCCTAAACTGAGACTAAAATCCAGAAAACTGGCTTCCCCAGTATGCGCCCTTCCTTATGGCACTGTACTAACTTGCGGCAATGTTTATATTCTTAAACCACTCTACCTGAGGTCTTGTTTTTAAATCACTTCACATGATCTTAAGAATATAGAAACTTGAACCCAAAAGAGGGGTTCAACAAAGCCTTAAATACGTGGTTACACAAGAGCTGTGGAAACACATATCACACACGGGCTGCAGAACTGGATACCTTGGTGATATAATTGCAAAGCATTCGTAAACCCTGCCCCACAGTCCCTGGAAACTGGTTTGACAGTTTCTCCAGAGAACAATCAAAATGCTGATTTGAGTCAGCTCCTCTTTGATGCTTTTAGCAGACAACAATAAGAAGATTATATGCTCAAGTCAGAACTAGCAGGCAGCAGGCCTAGACAAAGTTATGAGGCTACTTCAAAAAGTTCGTGGAAAATGGAAATAGTTTATTTTGGGACAAATGTGATTTGAAACCTGTGCGGTTTTTTGATACTATGGATTCCCATGAACTTTTTGCAGATCCCTCCTAAGTGTGGATTTAAAATCACCATCCACCATGAGGAGGATTATGAATGGACTAGAGTGACTATCCCAGGCGTGACCTTGAGTTCTCCATGCTAGCAACGGTCCGGAGGGTCTCTCCAGGGGAGCAGTGTTCCCCATCGGTGTTTCAGAGCTAAAGATCCTTCCTTCAGCTTCTTAGGGCTTTGTCCAGGTGCATCTGAACAGCTTTCAAGCGGACATACTTTCAGCCGATGTTTCCTCATTTTCCGTTAAGTTTTAAATTTGCACTACTAGATTTTCATAT